CAGTTGCTCAGGGTCGATCGAGTGTTCAATGATCGGAATAGTAAGATAAAAAAGGGCGCGGGAGAAAACTAGGTGTGGGCAGTTAGGGTTAAGGAAAGAGCTACTGCCAAAACAAGATGATTCACGTGAAAAATGGAGCAAATGACTAAGCACGAAAAACCTATATGTTTAATTGGACAGTTACCTACTACCTATTGATCGTCTTGTTGAAGCAGTGTTTCAATCGATATTTGCCCATCTTTGAGTCTTCTTTTTAATAGCTCCTCCGTGCTCACCACAATCTTTGAGGAGCGCATCGCATTAAACCCACGAAAAGTGGCAACCAACTTCTCTTGCTCTGCTCAAAATATTATCTCCCCACTACAAAGCTAATAATGAGTTTACTAGCACAAGGAATTTCAATGTCATCTCCATTTGAAAGAAGTCTGCCATACCTGTGATATCTCTTGACGAGGTAAAAACCGCCATTAGGTTGTCAGGTTGTTCCTCGAGAAACTCTGTTGTCATTTCTTCTCGCACATACCAGCTTCAATCTCGTTGTTGAAAGTTTGTCCTCGTCGAGACATCCGATGGATCCAGATTCTTTAGAAAGTTTACACAAGTCTAGAACGTCAAACCGTTATAAATACCAATTCCCAATGTATAGACGAGAAAGAGGGCAACGACGTAGACCAACCTGTAAATAGGCAAAGAGGGCTCCTCACTCTCATATGACGAAGACCGAAAACATACCAACAAAAACATATGATCGCAGTACTTGTGAATAGGCATACAGACCTCGAAGGAGACAAACTGGGGCCGATGGAACAACTACTGATGATGCCAGCTTCGAGTATTTAAGGTAAAGAGAATAAGAAAATAGCAGAACTCGCCCGCTTTCATCTATCCAGATTTGTGAGATTTCGGCATCATTCCGGTGATCTGAACCAGAAGAGAGAGGTTCATTATTGCTTAATAACGTTAGTTAATCCAAGCTGTCCTCAACAGACTTAAGAGCTCCCAAATACGAGAAGATGGGAGCGGATGGCCGATATTAGAGCCATGACTGAATCGCAGAGTTGCCGATAGAAACTTTAGGGCAGACGTGAGAGTCTGGATGGTCTTTCTGCTGTTCTCGCGTCGCTGTGTGAGATCAATAACTGTGCGAGATATATGCAGAGAGGCCCTCATCTTGCAGACTGATCAAAATACATGCTTGTACGAAACTGGTGACTTGTAAGTTTCGATGATCAAAAAGAGTCTATTATAAGATGTGAATGAGTCGGTCGAGAATACAACAGAATTTGCTTTATATAGAGGAAGAAGTAGCTTAAAAAGCCAGAATTGGCTGAGGTGACTGTCATGTGGCGTGAGGTGACCTATCCCAAATTAGTTTATGACCTTGAGGTCCAAGATTTCTTACCCGACTCGTAGAGTAAAGAGGCTATCCTACCTCGGGCTGATCGTAAGCCCTTTGGCTTGAGATTCCCTTTTACTCCTCCCCCTTTCTTCTATCAGGGATTCCTTTCTGAATGGGATATAATAGGAAAACATACAACATCAAAGACAAGTCATCAGTCGACGATTTGCATTGGCCCACGGGCATCTCTGAGGCCTGCTCTTCGTATTGTGACGGTCAAACCGCTCTTTTGGATCATGTTCATCGTAGAATAGAAAACTTCATAAGATTATACTTTGGTGATCTGTGTGCGACGCCTTTTGAAGCTCCCTGCTGTGGGGACTTGGACGGTGAATGTCCGTACTAGGACGCTCATGCTCCTGGCGGCTATATATTCTCATTAAGGAAGGCTGTTGGTTTTTAATTTTTCCGAGACGTTCCATCATTTCATGAAGAAACGACATGCTCTATCTAAAACAGTAGACAAGGAAGGCTATGGTCGCCTGCCCGAGAAGCAAGCTACGGAACAGTGGGATCCTGATTTTCGTCACTCATGTTAGGATCAGGCGCGAAATATGATTTTTCTGTGGCTGATTATGTGTAACACGCCAGTACCGTACGGTCGGGCTTGATAGCTGGCCCTCCGGCTGGGCGATCACTGAGGCATCGTATGTGATGTGTGATGTGTGCAGGTTGGCCATCATGTGTTGGGTAATTAAAAAGGCAGAAAAAAATAAAAGCAGAGATGGGGAAAAATTGCGTCGTATGCCCGTCACTTCTATAGAGAACATTGAGACCCGTGGTCTATGATGTAAATTCTCTTCAAGGTGTTGATGTTCCCATCGTTCCTGAGTTCAAAACGCTCCTCATATAAGTCAGTTGTAACGAATAATGCTTGTCCTCCCCTGGTTAGATGCCACAGTTTGCCGAAGCTAGCCCTGCGCGAAGGGAACAGCTAGAGATTTTTCGAAGAGACGCTGGGTAAGAATATTCCAGTGCTCATGTAAGCAATGATATATAAGTTATCTTCAATCTACGAGTTATTAGCTGCGTGCTTGTCCCTCCCTCTCTCTCACACACATTTACATACACCTACCAACTAAAGTTGGCATTGCTCATTGTGGTCCTGCAGTTTGCTTGATCCTATAAAAACCTGCTGTTATTGAAGGTTCTAACTTCATTCCTTCTTTTTGTAATTCCAGGTATTCTATACAAGGAGTAGGTTGCGGTTAGCATGATGGAGATAAGTACGGTCATAGAAACAAAATCTCAAGAGGCACGAGTGGGCTCTAGGTAATATAACAGAAGGTCCCATATCTAGTATGTCAGATGCCGAGATCTCATAGAAGTGCGGCAATATCAAGGTCCGTATTGCTATGAGGGCATTACCTAAATGTGTAAAGGGTTGGATAATTCGATAGACTGCCTCGATGAAGTAACCATGTTGGACACTTAGTACGCCAATCACAATATCGTGTGCGACAATAAACCCGGAAGCCGCTCGTAAAGTTTATGTACAAGACCGAAAATATGAGAACAGATACATCTGGGAATGAGTGCAAGTATGTCGTAGCATTGGCCAGCAGTGGAGACTAAAGTAGTGACAGGTCGAACATGTGTTGGTACTACTAAAAGGACACCATAAATATTCAGTCATTCATATGCGCTCATTAACGACAGAAACATTGTCCCGGGTAGTGTCCCATTCTTGTATCTCCTTTCATCGATTCTATCCGAGCAAAACTTCTTTCATGGGCAGTGCTGCTTGACTTAAGGCTTGTGACCGAGTGGAGGATCCTTGGGATCCTGTAGTTGATCCGATGGCCCTCTCCGTCAAATTGGTGTCACTGAGCATAGTACATCCCTCTGCTGCTATTGTATGTTTCTCTGAGAGCTTTTGAACGGCCTTGTGTTTGTTCTCTATAGTTACGAAGCGACTTATGGTGTTCGATCCTGGTCTTGGCTCTCAAGTCCAATTTCTTGTAAACCAAACTGTACGTGATAAACTCTCTCCATCTCATAGGTGAAGGTACTGAGGATGAATACTGTGGTGGCCATTCTTTGTTAACCCTGCATGAGGAGTATATCCACCATTGATCTTGCTGCTGGGCTCGCGGAGTGGATCATCAATACCCAGGCTGGGAAAATAACCTCACGTTTAGGAATTCCTTGTTGGCCATGCAGTCGCTCCCATTATTGGTGGTCGCTATCGTGCCTTTATCGCTCGCAAGCGGCTTGCATCACACATGCTTCATCGTCGCGATCCAGCCCGGTCATGAGACATGGGGCAGCTAGAGAGCGTCATCTAGAGCATTTTAGCCGGCATCATATGAGAGGGCTTCTGGTGTAGAATTTTCAGTCATATACCTTACGGTTAGTATATTTATATGTATATATCTTCGTTAGTGAGTGTCAATGCTGTGGTCCTGATGGTAGTTGCGTAGATACCTAGAAAGAAGACTGTCACTCCTCTATTCCTATCTAGTTTGAAGTCCAGCGTCGAAATGCAAAGCAGCAGTAAAGAAGCTAGACTTGAGTCTGATTGAATCTCCAAACCAGGATCATCTACTTCTGGAATTAATCTGTTTTTAATAGAGATAGAGCCACAGTCAAACGATACAAGGAGATCATGCAATAGCCACACTACCTGATCACGCAACACCAATTCGTTACAATGGAATAATTATGGATGTTTTAAGTAAATCTATCCAAACACAAAATACATAGAAGCACAGGTATGGCTATTAGTTCCATAGAAAAGATGAGTGCGTGGAAACTGACAAAGTCTACTCACTGCAACGGATAAGGCAATCGACTTTACTCATGATCACGGTTTAAATTTCTGTTTCTGTTGACATCTGTCAGTAATTCCTTTCAACGTTCGAAATTTATACTACTTCCAAGTGTGGAATTCCCACATTGCTGGTGATAGGAGTATAGACTACATATTGATCTCAACCGAACGGCTTCGTCGCTGCTGTAGGGTTAGTAGTGTCGATATCGCCAGGGGTGGTCTTGGTGCCCGAGTGGTATTGCTGCCGACGCCGGCAAGAGGGTTGTTTGTAGGGTTGTTGCTACCGACGCCAGTAGGAGTGGTGATGCTACCCCCATCACAATCTGAATTGCTCACAAATATACTGTCAATATTCCAAGATAAAGACCCTCGTCACTTGGAAGATGAACATGTACCTATATAGATTGTTTCATAGGCAAAAAATGCATGCCACAGCCTAAGAAAGACCATCGACAGCCGTTTAGCACTGCGCTTGAAGTGCATCTACAGATCACTTTGAGCGTTTCTTTTTGGCCCTGGCCTCTGACAAAATATCACTAGAAAAGGTCCTCAGTTCGAACCCGGGCTTAGAGACCCTTTTTGTATTTTTTTTTTTTTTAAATTGGCGCGCTAGCTACGTACAGAAGGGGATATCACGTGCCCATTTTCCTCCTTAAATTTTCTGCTCTTGATTTCGAATTATTCGTGAAGTAATCAATCTCCAATGCCGTGCAATTGTGCATGTTGAGGAACTCTTTGACTCTGAATTGGATTCAATACAAGGCGTTTAAGCTATCGAGTACCTCCAAGGTAAGTTTTTATACATGTGTGCGATGACACAAAATTCAATCGTCTTTTTCCATTGCTCGGTCAGCCCAGTTCAACGGCTGATCTTGAGCCGGATACCTTTACTTCGGTTAAGGTACAAGACAAGACCAATTCAGCAACGCTTTTTGAGTACGGAATCTTTTGTGTTTTCACCAAATGGAGTCTTCCGTAATTTATCAGTTGTTACATCTATCCCCACATCATCCTGACCTGTTTTGTGTGCAATAATATCTGTGCTTCATCGTTGCCCCAGGCTGCCAAATGTCGTCCGTGAGGACCCTCAGTGTTCTTATTCCGTATGCTCCAAACTCCGATCAAAATAGGAAACCATTCATCATGCCTCGCTAGCTTGTTAAGATAACCATCGTTATTTCCCTTGTTACGACTGATGTTATGGTAAGCTAGAATTCGTCGAGAGGATCGTAACCCTTCTGATTGTCAGCGTCACTAGAAGAATCTCCGTTTTTTTGGCAAACACACCTTGTCTTTTTTGAGTTGATGAGCCAGTAGCTCTGAAAGATTGGCTCTGTCCGTTTCCACGGTTAGGTTCGTGCTCTTGGACTGAACGTGGACAACCGCCACCTCTTTGAGGCCTCGTACGGTCAAAAGCTCATCCAGTCCAAGGATGTCCGTTATTCTGACATGGCGGTAGGTGAGGGGAAAGAACGTCTTCATCAAATCGGTTCGTGGACTGAGGTACGCAAGGGTGGATTTGGAAATGCTGATCGTCAGGGACTCAAGCCTGTCGCATTCGGCCAGTTTCTTGAAAGTCGTCGCTGATGTTGGTCCACACCAGTGAACTTTGATGTCGCGGACATTCTGTACGAGCAGTGGGTTGTTGTTGAGGTGGTGAAGCAGCTCGCAGCAGCAGCGGAAACGAACAGTCTTCTTCCGAAAGAAGATGCGGAAGAATTCTTGGTTGAGTGCTGGACCGAGTATAGATGGCAATGCCTTCATTTGAGGAGACTGGAAGCCCTCATAGTCGCGCTCAATCTTTGGGCAATTGCAGCTCACTTTTCGTGCACCAGGCTTAATGGCCTTCCCTTTGTAAACGGTGTCGACCATCAAATCGACGATGTACTCGCGGATCTCGGCAGGCAATTTCATGAAAGGGAAACTGTCGATAGGCGGCGGACGGTCTATGGCAAAAGTTATTTGCTGTTTTTGGCTGTTCTGATGGAGTGTCTTCAAGACGACAGTTATCTTGGTCTCACCTACCAGCAATCTCGAGGATTTCAGTACACATCTCTATGATGTCGACGCATGTCTTGGATTCTTGGGGGTCTTTGTTGATCATACGAGCACACTTGGCTATCGTTGCGGCGACGGATTCCCGGCGTTTGGGGCTCAGTCGGACCATGCTTCCCAGCTCCCTCGAATCGATGATCCCTGCGTGGAAGCTCTCCAGGCCTTGAAGGAGGACCTGGATGTTTCTGGTCAAGCCATACCGGGTGTGGACTGCCTTGGACTTGAGGGAGTACCAAGACTTACCCGACATGATAGCAGCGTCGCGCGAGCCTTGCGTTGGCGATATATACGAAAACGTTGTTGATACGGCGGAGATAAATTGCGAGGGGACACTGATGTCGGCGAAGGAGGGAGGGATGGTTGAGCGGGGTCTAAGAAGAACTGACTTCAAGTGAAGAAGCTTCTGCAAATCAACGTTTAATAGAGACGGGACGAAACGGGGTTAATCACGGCCTCGTTGTGATCTTTACAGCAGGCGCCCGTGGCAGCGTCGAATCGCTCCTTCCCGCAAGTGACGCGAGGAGCTAACTAACCGTCCCGAGTGAATGGCAGGTAACAAACTGTGGCACATCCGATATTTGGGATTTATGAATAAAATGAACAACCTCCGCATGAATAAAAAAAACTGCAATGCTAGTATACTTTGATACCAAGAGCGGTGACTGCTTCGGCCGTGCAAACGGCCGGCACTGGCAGCAACAGTGACGGCTGAACACATGATGATACAGCATATCAACCGGACACTATATGCTTCTGCATAATACATGTTCCACGATGTGGTGCACGGAATCAGTTCTTCGTCCCAGACGTATTGATTAGATCAATTCAATGAGATGGTATGGTATCAACTTAAAGATAGTTTGTGAGGAACCGGCGTACGACGCCAAACAATCCTGGCCATACGCTCCAATATAATGATGATCAAGTTTCTCTTATTAATTACGAAGTCGTGTGCTATCCCATTGACTAATGAGCATTTCCATCATAGTTTGATGGTATATATGCAGTCATCATGTGATAGGTACCCAGATCTAAAAGGCAGATCTCAACTCCGATAGAAGAGTAAATGGGCATAACAACATACAGGAAAGAAAACACCAACAAATTCTTACTGACTTACTCATTACTCATTCGCCATTCAATGAAGTCAGTTAACATACGTGGGATGATATCACTTTGATGAATTAAAGGTTGATTGTAAAACAAGTGTAGACTTTTATTGGTCTATCAAATTTGTAACGCCCGTGTCTGGTCTATCTGCCCATTGCAGGACCATGATGGTATGCAAAAACTCCATATACCAAATCGCTAAATCCAATATGCTAATCATACCACATATCGTGGCGTTTCAAATAACTTCATGCGGTTTTTCTATGGTGCCCGAGACACCGTCTTCGAAGACCAAGCCTCGACGATAGAAAGACAGCCAATGCGCACTGCTTTTGTTTTGGTTGTCTATTTTGTGTGTTGTTCCCCTTGGAAGAATTATGGGGAACCATGCAAGGTGAGGCGGAAATGTGATGTTGTCAGATCCGCAGCTGGTATACCGTTTCTGGTATGGATAGGTGCTGATCTCGAGATGTCGCATCATCCAGTTTGTGAAATGATGCTGACAGGACACAACCCAAAGGATGTAATTAGATGAAGAACATGCATCGCCCAATGCAAAGAAATCATCCAGAAATCAACTTGGTGTGGTGGTTGAGTCTGAATGTCGTTGAACTTTTGGTGGCGGGCGGCGTTAAAGCTGGCGTTCTAGAACTCTTCCAGCTTTCGCCCCTGTCGACTATCGGCGTGCCCGCATGCCCGCCCATCCATCACCATCGGCTTTGCCAATTCAGGAAATTGACTAGGATGATTTGATAGAGGATGAAGATGATGAAGTCTGATCGTCGCTTTCGCTGTCGCCTTCCAGGGAGAAGTTGACAACACTGGGAGCTCGTGTGCAACAAGGGCTAACGCCCAAGAAGTTATCTTCTTCAATCTGCTCAGGAGAAGAGGCACCAAAGGTGAAGCTGAACTGTGATAGCATCTCCTGGTGTTGGAGATTTTGGGCTGTCAAAGGCTTCTCGCTAGGGTGAGTGATCTTCTTTCCCTTCTTGCTCTTGGTCTTGCGCTCCTTGGTAGCGTCCTTGTCCTTGGACCCCCACGTCCAAGTACGGGACAGCTTGTTGACAAGAGATGACTTTGATGATGAATCAGACTTGTCGCTATTCTGGCTGGACTTGGTGATGGTGGCTGTGATCTTTCCAGATGTGTTGGCTTCGATGATGTTTGACGCGGAAGCATCGGAGCGCATAGCTCGGCGAAAGTGCTCTCGAATAGCCATTGTGAATATGTTCTGTGAGTGAGAGTATAAGCTTGGTGAATTGGGTTGTAGCTTGTCGTTTAATTGATTCGAGGCAGCGAGCTTAGAATTGACGAGATCATCAAGATTGAGAGTAGATAGGAATGGGGCGGGCGATCATCTATATAGACCCGAGCAGATAAGTGTAGGAGCCGGGACATTTAAAGGCAATCCTTCAAGATGGGAAAACCCCTCAAAGTCTTCGGTCGTTTCGACCAGCATGGGGCTTCCATCCATGCGTTCTCCGGTGGCGCCTTGGAAACTGGACTTGGCTGTGGAGGTGGAACTGCCTCGAGGTCCCTTATCCCATGTACAAGAGATACATGAGCAAATGTGAGTGGCTTCTGAATGGTCGATGGGTCCGTTAGCCCCTGGCTCTTGGGGATGCAGTAAGAACAGTGAATTGCTATTCGCTCACTGTAGACTGGGGTGCGGAGAATTGCGGAGGCTTCGGCGGCTTGTACGGGGGTTGACCCTCAATGAGGTCAGTGAGGTCCATAACTACTGTATGGAGAAACCCTGCAATGTCGGACCGGGGAGTTGAGAGGTACAAAAAGTACTTGTGTCGTTTTGCAGCCTTCTCGCGCTCACATGTGGTGGGTGGATGGAAGGATCGGAGATGCCAGTTTTTTTAGCAACAAAACCCAGCATATGCAAAAGGCACACCACCATTGTCAAACTATAAGCCTCAAAGGGGGAGGTGGCAGACGACACTAAAGTTGTTCTGAATTTAGCCGGTGATCATTGCTATGATCGCTCTGACAGGGTGTCCACCTGGCAGAGAGGCTGCGGCAGTACGTAGGCACCAGGAATTTCGTGCATGGCATGTCGACAGCCCAGGCTAACTGGCCATCTGGATCCATGAGAGCCCTGTTCATTTCAATCATAGCCGAGCGTGCCCGGCAGTGAAGGGCTGTGGATGTAGAAATCGACAGAAACATTGGCATACAGGAGTTGCATCGTGAAGCGCCTTGTGTGTCAGCCGTTAATAGCTGTTGCATCGTCGCTACACCTCAGAACAAACTTTCTGCAAGAGATTGCTTTGGCGTTCTGGATAATGAAACCCGACAACATACCTCACTTAGTGTAACGTTGACCGTTTTCGACACCATCAGACTCCAACTTGCATCTCAAAACACGGGGTCGGCGACAAATTCGAGCCGTGGAGGGCCCCACAAACAAAGCCGTCCACATTATCATCCCCTCTTTTCCCACTAGAGGTCTTGGGGTCCTTGGGGTTCAAACGGGGTCGCGAGCAGGCCGAGACTGTTGACGAGCAGCGTCATTGCTGGAAGGTAACGCCGAACTGAGTCCGTTTGACTTCGCCAAGAGGAGTTGCATTATTCAGGTTTTGATTTGGCCACTATTTCAACAAATTTTTGACAGTGACATTCAATGGCTTCCAGGCACCGAGATACCTCATCCTCTGCAGGTCGGCTAACCTAACAGAATTTGCCAAGTCTGTAAGTCCCCAGCTGGGTAGGGTAACGTAACTGATCCCTGTCTGGAGATCCCCCTTTGCAAACTGCTCGGTCTCGGTTGCTCGGTGTTGGTGTTGCGAGTGCTCTGACATTACGTACGTACTGTACCAATCGGCCCTTGCTCGGTTGGTGTTTGTGAGTGAAGTGAGCCAGCCCCATCCTTCTTTGGTAGACAGTCGCACGACCCAAAACCAGACCGTTGAAGACGTTGATGGGATGGAACTGCCGTTCTCTAATCCGCTCAACTAAAGTTTCTGGTCGGTCTTCGTAATGGTTGCAGAAACGGAACAAAAATACAAAGACGTTCAACTAGCTTGGAGATAACTAGGTCTTCAGTGTCGGCAGGCGCCGGGCCGGTGTCTACAGACGGCCTTCTCTCCAAGGTGAAATCCGCTGCGTGTCGCCGTTCCCGTTGGTTCCCGGTGCAGCACCTTGACGCCTGGCCTCATTCGCCACTTTTTCTCGGCGCTGGACTTGGCGCTCCGTTAGCAGCGGATAGTAATTGCTTGTTCGACTGAGCTTATCGAATCGAAGATGCACGACATGGCACCTTCTCTTGGTGGTTAGCCAGCAAAACTGATTGAGGCGGCTATAGTTGCCTGTGAAGAAATTTCTGCTTTTTTTTTTCTTTCTCTCGTCATTATCTCGCCGGCGTACAAGTTCTTGGGCCACCGGAATTGGCGACGATAAGACAAAACGGCGTCCTTTCCTTGGCATGGTGGGGACGATAACGTATCAACCTTGTCAAAGGCATCCCATAACAACCGTTTTCACCTTCAGGCTGACAGGCGAACAGTGTCAGAGTGTATTATTCGCTAACTGGTGACAGTGGGCCCGCCTCACTACATGCTCAGTATCCGTATACCCAGCTTTCTCACCGAATGCATCTAGACCCGCTTCTCGCTTCTGCGTCCCTCGGAGGAACTCCGTTGTGGCAAAGCAAATATGACTTCTTGACGTACGTAAATGACATGGGGGAAGATATCGTGAGCAGTCCATCTGGGAAGATCTGGCTGCATCATGGTGGTTTTGTTTGAGACACCAAGGCTCGGTTAGCGAAGGCTTTCATTTCTATGCCTTGTAATCCAGGCATTGAATGTACCCAGTTTAATGTGGATGTTAAGGACGTTGGTTCAACATATCACCGTACTTCTTGGATGAAAGTCTAGTTCATGTCAAAGATAAGATATGATAAACAGATGACCCAACACTGATAGCGTCTGTTGAGGCTCTTAAGAAGGGCACCACTTATATTGAAGGCTAGCGTGCAACCATCGTGAGATTTCAATGTCTTTTCTCCCCTTGCAGACGTCATACATTGATGCTTGCAGGTGTGGTGATCTTGTTTTGGATACCTCTAATCTATCAGGCTAAGTTCTCCCTCAGTCTTCGACTGACCGCCTCTAGATTAACAGTAGTTTCTACCACGTGCCGTTGAATACTGTCTCAGATACGGGTGAAAAGCTCCTTGATAGAGAAGTCGCTGCATATCGAGTTGAATTATCCGCGATTTTCATGCAGTGAAATCTACATACAGGGTAAGTTCCACTGAAAAAGCAGTCCAAGGATGCACCAACAATGGAGTTTTTAGAGGCCTTTCAGTGGTCAGCGGCAGCAGATGGGCGTATTGACCAATCACATGATGCAAAACATGCCCCGGAGCGACTCAGGATCAGGAACAGGGGCCCTCGATTAAAGATGATTTACATCACCATTTATTGGAGGCGGAGACCCAGTGACGCATCGCTTTTCACATTCTTACCGGCCTGCGCCAGCCTCTCTTCACCTGCCACGCCTGCACGAGTACGCCAGGTGCGGTCGCGTGAGTTTTGATTTGACCACATGATAGAAGTTTAAAAAATCAGCGGACATTTGTTGATCCATCTCAACACGAAGCACGCAAAAAAATACCAAAGACCACAACACTAATCCCGTCCGTTTTCCCTTATTCTTTGCTTTTTGGGTTGTTTTGTCTTGTCTCATCCTTTATCCGTCCTGTATTTGACGTGATCTGGGACCCTCAAAGCATCTGCCGTGATAGTACGTTCGCTAAAGATACGTAGACAGTTACAGTCACCGTCTTCGTCTATCCCTGCCCTGGACAGCTATCAGCTGTCTGAGTTCGCACATTGCGCCCCCCCGCATCCGGACTCTCGTTACGGTAGTTAAAACATAGCCTCTTAAAAGCGTCAAGTCCCTGAATAAACTCGACAAAGGAAGTTTGCTATTACTACAGTTCCTCAGCTACAGCCACCGTCACAATGGGCGTCCCCTCGGAACGCTCTGGAGGTGAAGGACCGCCTGCTTCGTCCGCCTCTAATCCACGAAGAACCCCCGGCAGCCAGTCTTATGCCCGCGTCGCCGCCCAAGGGACTGACGAACAATCGCCTCTGTTGAGGCACGACGCCGACACTAATAGTGTTACTCACGGGGAGCGCGATGATTCACAAACCACCAAAAGCATATGGTACCTGCTCCTGTTGACCATCAGTATTGGTGGTCTTCAGATCGCGTGGTCCGTTGAACTTTCAAACGGTTCCCCCTATCTCATGTCTCTGGGACTCAGCAAGTCTCTTATGGCTTTGGTCTGGATTGCTGGCCCACTCACGGGTACGCTTGTTCAGCCATACGTAGGTATGCTGAGTGACAATTGTCGTTTGCCCATGGGAAAGAGAAAGCCATTCATGATTGGAGGGTCTATAGCAACGATCCTTTCGCTGCTGTTCCTCGCATGGGCCAAAGAAATTGTCGCAGGCGCTTCTAACATTATGGGCTTTGACCCCGAGTCACAGGGCGTCAAGACCACAACTATCGTGGTTGCGGTTGTCGGTGTCTATGTTCTCGACTTTGCTATTAACACCGTCCAGGCCTCCATCCGTGCTTTCATTGTCGATTGCGCACCAGCTCATCAGCAGGAGTCTGCCAATGCCATGGCTAGTCGAATTACTGGATTCGGCAACATTGTCGGATATATTGCTGGGTATGTCGACTTGACTCGCCACCTCGGGTTCCTTGGCAATACGCAGTTTCAAATACTTTGTGCTATCGCCTGCGTGGCCCTTGCTTTGACAGTGTTTGTGAGCACTGCTCTCATCAAGGAGCGAGACCCTCGGCTTGACGGGCCTGCCAATAAAGAGAAGCATGGCGTGATCTCTTTTTTCCTCACTATTTTCAAGTCGATCAAGCGTCTGCCACCTCAAATAAAGAGGGTATGTGAGGTCCAGTTCTGCGCCTGGGTTGGATTCTTCCCTCTGCTGTTCTACACATCCTCGTATATTGGAGAGATCTATGTAGAGCCCTACCTCGAAGCGAATCCCCACATGCCCCCGGAGCAGCTCAACAAACTATACGAGCAGGCGACTCGAATTGGTACATTTGCACTTCTCATCAACTCCGTTGTGAGTTTGCTCACGAATGTTTTCCTCCCATTCTTTATTGCTCCTACCTACGACAGCCAGCCTGTCACAAACGTCCCAGGAGAGACCCCTGCTGCTGGTTACTACGATGAAGACGAAGACGAGAAGCCTTCCTGGTTGGACAAGCTGGCCATCCCTGGCCTCACTCTCAAGCGCGCATGGTTCCTCTCTCTCCTCCTATTTGCTGGATGCATGTTTGCCACGCTATTTGTGCGCACTGTCAAGGCGGCCACCGTACTGGTTGGTCTTGTCGGTATTACCTGGGCTATGACACTGTGGGCTCCATGGGCCATCATCAGTGCCGAGATCAGCCGGAGAGATGCCCTGATCCGTGCTCAGAGGATGAGGCAAGCGGCTTCCAGAGCAAACAATGGTGGAATCGGGGGTGACGAAGAGGAGGAAGAAATTGACCAGGCTGGAGTGATTCTCGGCATCCACAACATGGCTATTGCTGCACCGCAGATAATCGCTACTGTGGGCTCCAGTGTCATTTTCAAGCTCTGGCAGAAGCCACGAGGCACACCGGGTGACCACAGTATCTCTATCGTGTTTGCTCTTGGCGGTATTTGTGTTTTGGTTGCATCCTTCTTCGTGGCCAAGATTAAGGATGATGCTGCTATGCCAGCTGATGTTATGATTGAGGCGGAAGAAGGTCAGGGCAGAGCAGAAGAGGTCGCAGAACGCCGGCCATTGAGTAGACGCAAGTCTACGAGGGATCAGCTTCCTAGAGCAACCCAGCGCCGGGCTAACCTGACACGAAACAAGAGTTTTGGCGGCGCTGAGATGTATTAAGAGTACACGCAAACACACTGAATAATGCATGGACAGGCGCGGGGCCAGGAATATCATGGGATCTTGGAATAGCATTTTGGCTCTTTACCTAGAGCCTAGGAGCGTACAGTTTGGATTTGGTCGTTCTTTTATTGAGGGATCTTTTTGGGCAAGGATGTTAGGGCGCCCGGGTATTATGTTGGGTTATCGTTTGATTATCTAGATTCACAGTTTTATGCTTTGGCTTAGACAGAGATATCTCAAGTTCGCTCGTTACTTTCTTTAATTCAGACTATGGATGTTGTAGTCATTCGTGGATGTATCCTTCTAATAGTGTCTGAATCAAGTCGACATGTAGACCCCGACCGTGGTGAATCAATACGATGGCTCTGGTACCGCTGTATTAGGACCGCAAACCCCGACAGAGACCCTTGTCTCTCCCGGCATGGGACCTAGTGTAGGATTGATAGTAGTGAAGGGTACGAAGTGGAAGCACCACGAAACGTGGTTCTCGTCGCAGTAGCTGTAATCGCAGTCGAGTACTTGTTCAAGAATGGGAGCGGCAGTGACAGCAGGGGCATTGTCGACAAAGGCAGCTGGGTTGCCGGGGAGGGCCAAGGAAGTCGAAGCGAAGAGGATGACCAAGTGCTTGAGAGGGAGCATCGTGAATGTTTGTTCCGAAATGATAAGTGTTTTGTTGTTGATCAGAGGAGATCTGTTGTGTAGACTCGGGGAGAGAACAGCTTGCTCTTATACAAAGACCAAGGTTAAACATGTATAGCATTCGAGAAGACTCCTTGGCGCCCAGAGTATGGACAGCTATTTGTTTGCGTTGCGAGATGATGGTATAAACTTCCCACATGACTTCCTGGCTGGCTTCTCTTTGGCTCACACTACAGGCCTATAAGAATAAAACAAACATTCTAAGCGAGACGCCAGGTATCAAGTCGGCAAATGAACTCGGGCTTTTATATCTGAGGCAACAAGTGGTACAGGATGGATAAAATCGCCGAAGCCCAACATGTATGGAGTGTTACACTTCGGCAGAAGTTCTAATTTCGAGCAAAAGCTTGTATCCCTTGCTTCTTATATACACGAGGATATCCTCAGGTAGCTTCTCACTTACACTGAGAGCATCTTGTTTCCAGCTTTGATCCACAAGGTGATAATGAGCCCGATACTCGCAGTCCACACCAGACTACGCACCGGCGCCAGGCGGCGATCGGCCTGCAGCCACAGGTAGGCGACGTTGTACACGACACGGCTTGCGACGTAGCTAAAGCTCAAGGCGTTGACGGTAGGTGTCGACACGCCTGCAAAGTTTGCGGCTACGATACCGGCTGCGTAGAGACTGAGGGTCTCGAAGCCGTTTTCTGTAGCAGCCTTGGCTCGGTAGAGGAATTGTTTGTCCTGGAGGGCTGTTATCAAGGGAACATGAGATAAGACTGAAGGTTTGGAAACTTACATATTTGGTAAAGACCTCGCACTTCTCGATGTTGTTCTTGTGGGAGCGAGGGTTGGCGTTGTCGTATGTCCCCCTAGATGCAATGATGGTGTAGGCATGGGGAAGAGCGGCTATGAAGAATGCAGCCGGAACCTAGCGAATTGTTAGTTTTAATTATATGAGAAAAGATATAAACTGAAATACCGTGAAGAAGGAATAGTTCCTTGTGAGATCGAGGCCGAGAAAAGACTCCATGATGTGTGTGGGTGGGGTGGTAAGATTGGTAAAGGTAGGTATCGTAGACGAGTTGATTTGACTTGACTGAGAGTCTGATTCAATACCTTAAATACGTAAATTACAAAAAATTGTTGAGGAATATTCGTATTGGAAATGTTTGATTGAATCCGAATATCTGGAGGAATTATCAAAAATGCCCGAGAAGCTGAGCAGTTTAATAATCAGTCGTTGGTGTTAGTCGGGACCCGCTCTCGTGAACATGTTGTTTTAGCATAACGGACAATGATGACCATTAGTTTCGAGACAGACATGACACGATATTATGTCTTGTAATTGACGTGGTAGAGCCGTAATGAATCATTCCTATGCATATGTCTTATTAAATCGGAAAAATCATAATGCTTAGTAGATAATAAATAGTTGTGAATCGTAGTTATTGCCAGGATAAAATCAGGAACCACATCCTAGCTCGATCTATCCCCAACACCACTAACTTCAATCAGGCTGACTGACGAACAGGGGCCTTCTCAACGTCCTTTCAGTCTCAACGTCCTTTCAGTCTCAACGTCCTTTGAGAATATCAGAAGACTGCCGAAAACAAGTTACTTGCTAAGAAATCACCATCGCATATCAGGCAAGATATAATCATAAGCTTCGTATTGCTACATGCTTTCCTTTCAATCAACCGCCCTTAGTCAATATCGATTGACTGACAAACTAAAGATAGATAGATATATATACTGAGAAGCTAAGAAGTTTGACATATGAAATCTAAAAACCGAAAATGCAACCGAAAAGATATTCGTATATCTGTTCAAACGGTAGTCCAAATAACGCCGCCCTCAACCCGAACTTTCTTCTTTTCTTCCTTTTTTTCTGGGTGGGTATCTTATACGATGACAAACAAGACAAACTGGTTTCCTCTAGGGACCTTGATCATGCGATGTGTCGCTTGGGCATGGATCGTCTGGAACTGACTCGCCAGCCCTTTCCGTCCCAGCTTGTTGTGCCTCTGTGGCTGCCGCCATGGCTGTGGACACGGCTCTTGCTGTGTGCTGCTGGACCGTGGTACTGGCCATTGTCGTAGCTTTGGCTTTGCTCGTTGCCAGAACTGGAGCTATCGCCGTTCTGGTTGGTTTGTTGTTGATCGCCGGTAGGGACGTACCAGGTATTGCCGCCGTCTTGGCTTGGTTGGTTCTCAGGAGGAGCGTATGTCTGACCATCACCGTTGTTTCCGCCGTTGTACGCATCACCGTTACCGCTTTGGCCATTACCAGAGTTGTCATTGCCGCTGTTGTTGTCACCGGAGTTGTTATCACCAGAGTTGTTGTCGCCGGAGTTGTTGTTTCCGCTGTTGTTGTCACCAGTATTACCGTTGCCAGAGTTGCCATTACCCGAGTTTCCGCTTCCGCTGTTGCCTTCACCACTGTTACCCTCGCCACTGTTTCCACCGTTGCCTCCATTGTTACCGCCATTGTTACCACCACCGTTGGAACCGTCTTGACTGTAGACCTTGATACTGTTTACAAGCCAGTAGGCGTTCTTGAAGGCAGAAGGGTTGTTGGCAACATAGTCGTTGCACTCTCCCAGTGATGCGGTCTCAGGGTTCTTGTTCCAGACGTCAGGAGAGCCAGCCCAGTCACCACAGAAGGTAGTGTCGAAGACGAGGTTGTTGTTCCTGAAGTGATCATCAATGTTGCAGCCCTGGCCTCCGTTGAACTTTGCAGTGGGATTTCCCCATGATGAAGGATCAGGGTTGCCAGATTGGATGTCTTGGGGAATGCGGCCGCGGTGGAAGAACCAGACAGCGATATAGTCAGAAGTCCACTCTGTAGCGTAGACTCCGCCGCCAATGTCATTGAAGCCATCGCCGTAGTTCTGGTTATCAGCTGTGCACTGACCACAACCCTCGCTCGCGCCACCAGCGTTGCAGTTGTCATTGACGAGAGTGGTGCTTTGGTCGCTGCCATCGTTGGTGATCTTGCAGCCAGGTCCAGTGTGAAGAGTGATCTTGTTCTCGGTCTGAGTGCTGACGCCCTCAAGAACGTCTATTTCACCGTCGTCGGGCCACGTACCTCCAGAAGAGAACATCCAGAAGGCGGGCCAGACACCAGGGATACTGCCAGGCATGTGGGCGATATCGGCGATGAAGAGGCCGTGAGTGAAAGAGTCGTGAGAAGTAACTCGAACTGACTTGCGACCCTTGGAAGGGTTTTTGGTCTTGTAGTCTACACCCATGTAGACCTGACCGTCGACAAAACCAGCCAGACCCTCACTGTTGGCAGTGTCGGCATCGATATACTCGACGAATCCGTTGGTAGGATCCTTCTCGTTGAAGAACTCGAATGCCTCGAAGAAGTTGGTAGAGTCGTAGGTGTGGGTGATTGAGTATCCGGAGTGGGAGCTGTTCTTTGAAGCAGTGGCACCTTGGAAGAAGGCCACGAGGCCCAGCGTGAGGATTGATGTATGCATCGCTTCTAATGTCTTTAGGTAAGTAAAGATGAGAAGAGGATACTTTGCGAGGAGCCTTACTTATGAGTGAACAGATTTGTCAAGAAGTTGTGGTTCAGGTATTGAGTTTGGTGATGAAGATGTGTTGTAAGTTTCGGTTATTCGGTAAGTGATAAGGATGAGTGTGATTTAGTGAGTGACGGTAATTGCCCTTGATAAGAAAAGTGCAATTTATAACAATAGAATCACAAGCTATTGTCAATACCAAGAAATCCCCAGCCAAACGCGGAGGGCTGGAGGGGACAAGAGAGGGGAGGCTATTGAGGTGCCTGACGCGCAACGAAACAATAGCTCTGGCACTGCCAAGGAGGGAGCCAAGTGAATATAATTGCAACTCGTAGTCAGTGAGAGACAATAGAGAGAAAAAGAGCCTTAATGAGAGTGGCCAGCCAGCTACCGAAAGGATTGAAACGGTAAAGGCGACGAATGCAGCCAAGTAAAAGAAAGATAGAGAGACAGGATGAATGATTGATTTATTCCTTGAGCCCAGCCAAGCAGAGTAACCAGACACTGAAAGACGGAAGAGGCAAAAAGGCAATAAAAGAAACACAGAAAGAGGGGAGAAAGAGAGAGAAAAAAGAGTGAGTGTGGTTGATGTCTGGGGCTATGGCCTCTCAAGGGAATGCGGGAGTTATCTATATGCCCATGTCTCTGATATGTCTTGCAGTTTCTCTCTCTCTCCCTCCTTTGTAATGCAAGGCACTGGCAACGCAACGCAATAATTGACGCCAAGCTCCTTTGAGAAGAGGCTGTAGCATGTCATTCTGTCTTTGTCTTCCTTGGTCTCTTGGCCTTGGCTGAGTTTGGGTTGGGGCTGATATCGTCCACCCCGAAAGATCGGGAGATGATGCTAGGTTGTATGCTAAAGTATCCGAAACAGTAGCTTGGGCTCGTCAAATAATAGAGTGAACCAATAAAATGACAAAAGCCATGCGTTGTTTAGAGGCTCTGATGCGTAGCCTGTCAACCTACAAAATACTACTCAAGTAACAAAGAACGAGACGAGACGAGACTGATATGTGCAAGTTCTAGGGCTTCTGATCCAATCACTTCGAACGAGAAAAAGCTTAGCGCGACCGGTTGTGGCTTGGCGTACCTGGCGCTGGCCGCTTCAGGCAGGGAGACATGCTTTTAGTCGTTTATGATTGGTCGATCATGCTGCTCAGGGGTTCATGTCCACTAAAGAGCACGCTATCTTGTAGTGGAGACTGACCTGGGGGAAGACTCGACTCGAACACTGAAGAGGTGGAGTGGAGTGGAGGGCTTCCGGCGGACGGGACGAAGTTATTGAAACAGACAAGAACGAAACACTTCAACTCTTGCTTTATCATCTTGGAAGGTTCTTCAAATGAATGCCATTGTTCTCTACCGCATGCATCAATAGATATTAAGAACTGGAGTCAACAGCGGTCTAGACTTGTGGGTTTTACCTTTCATGGTAACCAGCGCTTCTATAGCCGCGCGCTCTTCAACATCTATGAATACCAACATATCCTTACCACTTACCCTTCCCCTCTCCACTATCCTGATGCGATGCCCAGTCCAGCTTAGAACAAAGCCATCCAACAAAGCAACAAGCATGAATAACACAACCCAACATGAACCTGACCTAACCTAACCTAACCTAACCGACAGTTTCTCTTGTTCATGTCCAAACCGGGCTGGGAAGACATTCCTCAACTAAGACATTCCCAGCCTAGATCTCGTGTTCTGTTAAGCCCTCCGGTTGTCGACGCGCGTTGTCCCTCTAAGCGCCACACTTTAAAAGTAAAAAAAGAAGGAAAAAACAATGACCTCTTCTGAAACATAGTCTCAGGAATGGAAGCCAAGCTAGACCTTTCCATGCAAGGCGGTCCCTATCTGCTTTGGGTTTGGTTACTTGAAGGAACCGAAAACCTTTCTGCCACCTCCTTTCTCTTTGTCCTGAAAGAGAAGGCAAGCCATCGCACTTCTCCTTTTCCTGACTTGCTATCTCGACGTGATCTGCGTTTCTTGACCAAACTTGCCCATATTTTCCGTCATGGACTCCTTGCAAATACTAGATAGAAAGAGAAAGCCAACAGTGCGATCGGCTGGCTTAGTTAGTCTAGACTACTGCTCAGGGGTTCTTCAATGTCCCGGCATAATGTTCCGTGCCGTAACCCCGGACTGGGATCCTGGGATCAAGCCACTCTTGTTTCAATAAAAATGGTCAAGGATCAACACTGACCTCGAATTTCAACTACATGGTATGATCTGCCGCCACTTAAACTTTCACATGGGCGTTATCTATAGCAGCTATCTTTGCCCGCAACGTGGCCTTGAAACATACTCTGCACCAGCTTCATCCTCCAGGATCATCCTTACTCAGTCACACAAGAATACGAACAATCATCAAAGAGTCGAGCTAACTTCATCTAACAAACTTTCAACGTCAGGTCTTTATTCATAGTAAACATTTCTTTTGGGCCATTGGAAGGTGATGCTGGCGTAGAGATCCTTGATTGGTATATACATGAAACCATACATCCCCCTTCGCATCCCTCTCATATCTCTAAACATCCTTTCATCTCATCTTGAAAAAAGTAATAATACAGGAAGAGAAATCATCTTCCCCAAGTCTAAACCATCCCATCGAATTGCAGCCGCGAATCCCCTCCTTCATCTCCCGGGGCTTTCGCAGCATTCTTTATAATATGCCTCGTCTAAGTGGGTATATGCAGTCGAATAAAAAGTAAAACATGTACAGAACTCCAGGGCGAGCATCGACACAGTTGTGCGTAGCGTCGACTGCTTTCGTATCCATTATCTCCGTATAATCATGCATGTCGAAAGGCTGATGCGTCTATATCCGAGTATTTGTGTCGTTCGTTGCGTTGCGTCATGGCATTGTTCAACTCAGAAACTCATTCAAGTGCTCTTCACAACTTGACCTTCTGACCAGTGAGTTTGAACCAAATAACCGCAATGAGATCCTCCTTGAAACGCTCCCAAGGGTTGCGGTTAAGCCAGTAGCTGAATTCGCGGTAGTAGTACATCTCGCCCCAGCAGTCGCGACCCCATTCGCAGCCTGCCATGTTGACCAAGAAGTCGCGTTGGTTCTCATCGTAATGGATGTGAGGGTTCTTGGGCCCGCCATCAGGGTTACAAGCGCCAGGTGGGAAACTATTAATCTTCCGCTGGTGCAAGAAGGCGATGTGCTTGCGGACCCATGGCTGTGTCTGGTACAGCTGGTCCAGCGCATCTTGCTCCTTGTGCTCCCATTGCATGTGCTTCTGCTCGTATGTGACTGGGTCCCACCACACGTCCAGGAGTCGATCGGTCCATTCGCTGCGTCGCATAAAGAAAGACCCTAAGTTAAAGCCGGCACAATCTTGCGTCATAAGCATGTTGATCGAGTTGGCACTACCATCTCCGACAGGACTCCGCGAGATCTCATCGAGGTAGGGATCGGTGAACGGATGCGAGATATTGCGAGGGTTGTAGTAGTTGATGTCACGTTCAGCTACTTGTTCGAGCTGATTGAAGATGTGGTCTTGAAGCGACACTGAGGGCTCCATGACAAAGGTGTTCAAGTCCAACCACCAAACCCTTGTATCATTGTTAGTCTTGCCTTCCACTGCGTTTCTCTGGATCAGCTTACCATTCTGCCTTGGGGTATTTCCTCAAAGTTGACCGAACGAAGTCAACTTTCTCCCAGCTCTCTCGCCATTCGTGCGCATACTTCTTCTTGGTGCTCATGTCGACAATCTCCAAGTCGTATCCCCATCGGTTGACGTATTTTCGCTTGTTTCGCACGCTGTCTCGCTCAATGGCCCATTCTCGGGCTCCCTTCCACTCCATCACACCTCCGCCGACATTTGCGCCCAGGATGATGACGAACTTGTTACCTCCACCAAATGATCTTCGCCAGTAGTAGGCAAGGGCTGCAAAGATTAGTATCGCGATCTGAGCATCCGGAGCATTACGACCAACTTACGGGTTGTGTAAAAAATAGTGTAGCAGAGAGTTGCTATCAGGATAAAGAGCAGGATCATCTTGAGCCTCCTTCCCATTCGTCCATAGATCGATCGTATCCTGCCGGCAAACGGCACTTTTCGAATCCATCGTGGTCCTCGTCCACCCTTCTCCTTCCAATTGTCGCGCTGTCCTTGAAATTGTGGGAGACTGCTCGAAAGTCGTCGCATGTGTCTGCTGAAGAAACCCTTATTTTGAGTTGAGAAGGAGGAAAACGTGCTCGAGGTATGAGGTCTCATTTTGGCTGATTCCCATACAACAGGTCCTCCGCTCACAGCTGCAGGTGTCGATTTTCCGCTATCAAGGCTTAAACCCGGGCTAGACCAGCCACCGCCAGGAACAGGTGAAGGGCTTCTCGAAAGGGGCATGGAAGATCCTGGGGTACCTAGAGGAGGCGAGCTTGGTGATTAGCCCGCGAACTGTGTTGTAGTGTGTGGTTGTCCATCAAAGCCCAGTAACAGCTGGGCAAAAGATATTTACAAAAGAGGAGAAAATGAATACAAGAGGATATAGGGCTTTGAGAGAAGATGTGTGTTGAGTAAAGCACCGCTCAGTATTGAGGCCATGCAGAAGCTGAATACGAGAGGGGGGATACAAAAGATATAAAAAGAGACGGTGGGAAAAGCAACAATCAAAAACATGTCAAGAAAGACGCCAAGAAGCCTCGAGGTATGAGAAGTGAGACATCGACTGGACAACCGGGAATGTCACCATAGAGGACATACCTGGAATGGGGGATAATGGGCCGTTGTGAGGCTCCAGTTGCCTCTGGGAATCAGTCGACAACAAGCCTGGGTTGATCACGATGTGGCTGACGGAAGAGCGTTGTCGTGAATGATGGCCACGGGATGGGCGATCACTGAACGAGCTCGAAGAGCCGAATCCTGAGCGTGATGAAGCCAGCTTGAGCAACGTCGCAACCGGCGACTTCTAAGAATGACGCCGCTTATGTCGACCGGGGATGGCGGGGGGAGAGGCTTGTAAAGGAGCGCAACCACGAAGTTTGGGATTGCGAAGGGATCCTTATGTTTTATCTCTTTTTTTCTTCTTGTTCGTTCGCTTCGCGCAAGGCTGCCGGCCGGATGAGCAAGGCTCGAATTGGAGAACGCAAAGGGCACCACACAGTCCCGACTTTTCCACCTTGGCAAGGGACAGTTTTGACGGTAACGAAATGTCTTCAAAAATTGTTCCGACAATTGAACGGACCACGGCTGTAACTGTCCTCGAAATGTGGCGCAAAGTGGGAAGATCGTGAGCGGTCTAGTGTGTGGCAATCGGGTATCGTGATGGGTGAGATTGTGTGTCGATAGAATCACGGTATACGAGGAATGGTCGAGGTAACGTATAAAACAAATGAGGCTTGGACGACCTGTCGATGAAGTAAGTGTAACGACGCAATGCAGTGGTGACAGAAAAAGGTTAGGTAGGGACTGACAGCCCGTATTTGTCGAAGTGGGTGTGGATGATGGAATCCGCAGCAAGAGAGAACCTGGCCTAGCGCAGCGCAAAATAGAATAGCTTCTGGCCCAACTGTATCGAAGCTATCCCGGTCTGGTGGGTAGCGTAAATAGAGTGCCGTTGGGAATTCGGTGTAATTTTGGATTAAACGGCCAACCCGGCTGCGAGCAGCAGAATGGATGAGTGCAGTGCGGTGTAGTGTAATGATGCAGTGCAAGGCGATGTAATGCGACAGCAAAGCGTAAGCAACAGTAAACAGTGCGATCGAGTGCTTGGTGGATGTCGCAATTCTGAGATGCGGTAGCCGACAGACGGTACACTAACGAATTAGCCGAGTCTGTTTATTTACCTAGGGGGCAGGCGTTTTCGATAAGAATCTCGTATTGCATCGTTCGCTTCAAATCCGAAAGGAAGTCGACGTTGAAGGATCAAGAACTAAAAGTACAATCAGTCAATTTACCCCTACGAAAGCCAAGCAAAGGCCATGTGGGTGGTTGCACTCTCAGGGGAACGGACTATAGTTCCTTTTCAAAAAAGGATTAGGGGATCCTAGCAAATTCAAGCCAAGATGCTGCTATGCTACACTGGGTTTGAAGGTATCCTGTAAGAATTTCCTTCCATTTTTCCTCCTCTAGCCCAGGGGATCCATATCTCATCTCACATCTCATATTTGTGCAACAAATATCCATGCAGGTACAGGCACAGGCACAAGGACAGACACAGAGTCCCTGTTTGCTTGTCTCAAAAAGATGACAAGCTGCAGTCAGCCTCTTAGTTCATTGCATGCGTCTTGAGTTGCCTCTTTGAGAAGCGTTGTATTAGTTTTCAACTGTCTTGCCTGTGATTAAACCGGTAAAGATTAATTCAGTCGGTTAGCCTTAAATGGCTTGGACCCCTATCTTAAGTGAGATGATGAAGAAAAAACGAACGTGAAATTACGTCACAATCCATTCTCAAAAATGTACCGAGACAATCGACCTGCGAGACACGCTTTTAAATTACTAAGGTAGGAGTTGCCACTCACTATATAGCAGTTATCAGCCATGTCTCAAGACAATGATGTTGTATTCAGTCCTGCCGGAAGCTTCAATATATGATACTTCTTATAGTGATATTCCTTCTGGACTCTTGTTCCTGATTGCTCATGATGTTTCTTCAGGACCTGACCCCACATTCCTCATGTAAATTATCCGCCCTTCTGGACTTTCAGTGGTCATTGAATTTTAGGTTCAGGATTCAGGGGTGCTGCCTGTCACTTTGCCCACTGGATGGATACCGACAGGTTAGTGGAAGTAATCGAGTCAAGACCTCCCATTCTTGGACTACTCAGAAACAAAATCCCATCAGTCATGAATAAGGACCTTTTAGCAGAAGTTTCTTTTTGTGTTTAGAAGCACGGCCAAATAATCTCCCGACTTCTCTGCCTCGTAGGTCGAGTGCCCATGATTTGGTACTGGTAGGTTGCATCAAATCTTAGCCAAGTTTGGATGTAAATATGCACATATTCTAGAAACCTGTTAGTTGTGACAAATAGGCTACACGTGCTGTGACACGTGTTCGAGTTCAGTTTCCAGCACCTTCAACATCTTGACGACAGTCCATTCTTCTGCTTGTCTAAACATAAATCGCAACACTATGACTCTTGATGTCAGTAAAGATATTGGGGCTGTTCTCAACATCTGGTTCCCAGTGGCGTAGGTTAAGAACGAGGTACAAACCCTCGACATATATTGTGCTCTGAACAGGCACTTACAACAGACGAACTCTGCAACTATCACTTTAAAACTATAGTTTCTGAAGATTGAAAAGCACTTCCAAATAGTTATAATCTTAGAATTATTAATTTCTGGCTACTGTGTTTAAGTTGCTCTCATGTTCATTTTCATCTTCATTGTCCCTTACCTACAGCGAGAAGCTAGGATGTTGCAGCACGTGACCGAGGCTATCCTATTCCCTCCTCCCTTCCACCATTTCCAAAGTATCGTCATGTCTGCTGCGAAAGATGGCACGATAGGTGTAACAAAAGAAAGAAGAGAAAACCGCCTCGAAGTATCTGCCTATATCTGGCGGCCTCCCGCGAAACTCGCTCAAGTGCCCAGAAACCGGATGACCAGACACCGACATGAACTGCGACGAAGGCTTCTTCTGGCTGGCAATACGGCCTCTGCAGCATCATCGGCCTGGATATGGCCAGACCAATTTAGAGACCTGATCGATGCGGGGAAGTGCAGAATAATTCTTATTGATTCTTGTACTCCCCATCGTCGTACAAGAAGCCCGACCTCCGGATGTGCCAAAGAAAATTAAATAAACAGGAAATTGCACAACACTTCACGTCAGAGACCTGTGCTGACCATTTACATCTGAAGCTAGCAGAAAACACCATCCAAGACACTTATTTGTCGGAATTGAGCAATTTTTTTTCGTTTGCGAATTGCTGCAATGGCTGCGAGATAGCATTCGACGTGGCTTAGTTTCATAAAACCTCTAGTCTCGATCAGCCAACGAACACTTCATACTAGGCCAAGTGGTTGTAGTTCTAGAAAGAGAACCGATATTCCTTGTCACCAACGTGTGTGGACTGACGAACTGGATGATGCCGGATACCGGACACTCTCACCCGGAGAGCCTCTTGATCGGGACGTGATCCAATCGATATTTCTCCCGCATCTCCAAGAGAGACACTTTTTGTTCTCGCCTCAGACCAATCTCCCTAGTCCTTGTCAATTCGCTTCTGGTTTGACGTTGCAGTTGCAGGTTCCAGGCGCGGTCGCCAATCCAACGGCCTATGAATCACACACACTCCAACGTCGGCGCCTAGAGCTGGCCAATCAGAAGGTCGAACCCCAGAGCGAGGGCGGCTATTCTACACTCAAGGATGCGCCAAGTCATTTGATTCATAGCCTATGAGCTATTGTTCAACGTTTGGACCTTGAATGCTTTATTTAGCCCTGCAGCGAATAGATGCGGGTTTCTGGATAGAAGCCAATCAAGAAGCTTTGCGCCCTTGATTTTGCTCAATCTAGATGGGATTTACGGATACCTTCAATAGGATCCACTACCACCAACAATATGCAGCATAGCATGTAGTTGCGGGAGGTGGTACGGTATTATAGGCCGTGTCCTTATTGTTGATTCACTTGTCTATTGTTCTCGTTCTACTCTTCTCTTTGCTACAATTTTATTTCCCTTTCATCTTTCATTTTCTCTTCCTTGTTAGATCTTGTTGACATTGTTTGCTTAGAACGTGAATAAGCAATTCACATCTTATTGTTCAGGTTTCTTTCCTTTGTGACAAACAACAATCATTAACTTACTTTTTATTCTGTTCGTTCTACTCATTCATTCTAAAACAAAGCATCTCTTTCGTCAACACTCTTTCTCTCACAAACCATACAAACTGTTCTCTGCATCTATCATACAAACGGCAAGATACATGACCACCCACAACTCAGCTCTACAGGCTTAAAGACTAGTTGCTGCTACACTCTTTAATCTTTGTCACATCGAGTCACTCACTATTGATATCTAATACATCACGATTTACACAATGAATAACACGATCCAGCCACGAGAACCGGTGCACCCGCCGCCATACTCGGAAACTCAACCCCGACGTCGAGAAGAATGGGAGGAGTGGGAAGACGACGAGCCCATCACACCGATCGACGCTGGTGAGCAAGTCTTCCCCTCTCCATTGAACGTCGGAGCTAGAAATTCGAAGCTTGCCGCACGACGATCGTCGAGAGCTTCTGCTACAAGGATCAATCGGGTCAAGTCACGACAAAGACAAAAGGCCCAGAATGCAAAGGCTGGGATCAAGCTCATCACCGACATGTCGTCTTTTCGACGCCAAAACTACATGCCAACACCGGTTGAACGTACTGGAAAGTTTGTTGATGCGGCTGCCTTGAAGGCGTTGGAAGGAGAACCGACCTCGGCTTCGGTAGGGAACTGGAACTGGTTCAAAAAGAGTAAAGACCAAAGTCCGGCCACTGCATCACCGCAGTCATCAGCCAGACCAGCTCAGTCAGCTCGCACCCCGGACAACAAGCTTTCACCAGATGATAGACCTATTGTTATTGGCCTGGCTTTTTCGTCTGAAGAAGCGAGTATCGCTTCCCGATACGATACCACTCCAACACCCATCGAGCCCTCATCACAACCATACCTGCCTCGTAATACTGTGAACAATTCAGCTTCGCCTCTGGTACCTGCCCAACAGAAATCTGTATGGTCACCCGACACCCCGGATACTGTGTCCTCATTCAGCACCATTCGCTACACTTCCAGTATATACTCACAGTTCCCGTCTCCCGGTACGACCACGGCTGGCAATGTCCCTCCCGTACCAGCCGTTCCAGCAAACTTCAAGAAATCAGCTCATAAGAGGCTCATCAGCTTGGAGCTAGGAGGCAGAACTCCTGATGAGTCTGACAGTGGTACCCCATGCACGTTGTTCGAAGAAGATGGAACTCCAAGCCCACACAAGCAAATCAAGGCAAAGACATCAGTACTGACGCCCGACAGCGCTGCATCCAAGTCCCGTGGCTGGTGGGATCACCATGTTGTCACTCCTTTTATGGAGAACCGACTCACATTCACTACCAGCCCAAAGGTGTACACTGAATCTCCAAGGAGTGTTCGAGGGGATGAATGGTGGAACAAGCCGGAGACAAAAAGCCCACAGGGAGATTATCTTACACCAAAGTTGAATCCTGCTTCATTCCAGACACCCATTGTCAAAGCTCCAACACCACGCCGGACACCGTCGCCTCGTATCGAGCATACTCAGGAAAGCGAGTCTGGCCCTTCCACCGCAAGAGCATCTCCAGTCCCCGAAGCCACCACTATGTCAGAGAAACCTCGGATTCTTGTAACAGAAGAAGAAGAGAGCGTCGGCGAGCAGCTTCCTGCGTACTCGCCACCGGAAAAGACAAGTCAGACTGGCCCTATCAGATACAGAGCAGTCTTCCCACCTGGACATCCGCTCCAAAGTCAATTCCCGCCATCTCCATCTCCAGCCCCTGCATCTCCAAGACCCATATCTCCAGGCCTCTCGTCTACGATGTCCTCGCAACGAGCCGATCAGATGACTGATATCCCGCTCACGCCCGCTCCTCGAGACAACTTGCGTCTCTCACAAATGCCACTTCCGACACGCCCCTTGGGTACAGCAGTGCCACGTGAACACCCACACAGCGATGCTGGCTTTGTGACCAAGACCGAGCGTCAGAGACGTCGGGATGAAAAGGAAGAATCCATTGCTCGCCGCCTGGGTGGTTTCTGGAGAGGTAGAGGATGTGTTCCAAAGAGAGGTTGTTTTGGCCGAACAGGACGCGAGGGTCGTCAACGCCGTCGAGTCTGGATGATTGTTTTGGGAATTCTTCTCGTCATCATAATTCTGGCGATCACTCTGGGTGTGGTTTTGACACGACCCAAGCATTCAGAAGAAGTGCCATCAATTTGGGTTAACTTGACAGACTTTCCACCTATGCCAACAGGAGACCTGTCCATCGTTGGACCAGACAATACAATGGAAAGAAGTAGCTGCACCAAGCCATCCACTATGTGGAGCTGCTCTCTGCCCAAGGAACAGCACGACTCCGTGAAGCCTTACAACGCCAACCAGCCTACTATCATGATGCAGATCCAGTGGGATAACAGTACCCGTGAGAACTGGAAGACCCCCAATGGAGATGCGCCTTCGGTCAAGGCACGTCGAAGCATGGGAAGTGCCGTGAATGCCGGAGACGTAATCCGAGCACGGCAGACACCCGACTTCAAGCCCAGTCCTGATCCACCTGAGTTTAAGGAAATGTGGTTTTTGGGAAACACCACCGACGGAATCCAGTCTGATGAAAAAGGAGGCGAGCCAACCCCTTTTTACATCAGCTTGATTGACCCTGCCGAAGAGGACGAGCGCAAAGAGCTTGCCAAGCGACAAAATGAGGCAGAGGGGAACTCCAGTATCCCTGACCTCCGTAGCATTCTCCCACCACCCGACCTCAACCAGGATGGTACTCCTAAGCCCGCAGTGTTACTTCCACAGCCAGTCCAACAGCCAGTACGCCTCTACGATCGTGGTCTTCCAACGGAACACTATGGGTTTTACACATATTTCAAGCGTACCATCTTCCTCAAGTCCACAGGAGTCCTCAACGACACCAAAGAGGGCGATATCCCGCTAGATGAGGATGGTGGCAGCAAGGAGACAGAAGCAGATTTCATTGTGACATGGGCCGAGACACGTCTGCTCGTCCAGATTTGGACACGCAAGTTGGCTGCCAACACGTCGCAACTGATCGATTCTGAGGAGAAGGGTGGCATCGACGGCTCTGCAGAGCTCATTCGACCAGGAACGATGCCGTACCCTGTTACAGTCACAATGGACACACATGGAGGAGATCGAGAGAAGAAATTTGTCTGGTCTTGGCCTATCGATGACAGACAAAACATTGACGATGAGAATCCCAAGCTGCTCGTCAACAACATTGGGGCGGGCGGTCCATGGATCAATGTCAGAGCTGGAGGTGATGAGAAACTTGGCGGATTCGACGGCGGGACCGGAGGATGCAAGTGTGAGTGGAAAAACTGGGTATAAGTATCGTATTACTTTTAATCTGCTTAATGACGAGATGCACGAAGCATCGCCTATGGAAGCATTGGGAATAGGCGTCAAGGTACAAACAAGCCTAAAAGGCATTATGATTTACTAGCTACCAAAATTGAAATTATTTGAACACTGATAAGTCTCACTATACTAACGTTCTTTCCAGTATATGTTTAGTTTTGCCATGTGATATATACATATCTTAATACGTTTCATGGGTAGAGAGTACTGGGTGAGAACTTCTATATTCTACGCGAACGGTTGGGGTGGGGCCGTTCGTCCTCTAAATTTCAACTTCACTTGGTCTCATAGTATCTGGGATCAACTTATAATATCTCGCAAGATGCGGTCTATCTTATTGAGCGGAAATAGGAGGACGCTCTTAGGTGGCATCCAGCGACAGAGGCGCCTTCTAACGACCCTCGCGATTGAAACATCATGTGACGACACAGGTGTCGCTATCCTTCGTCATACCTCACAATCAACAGAACTTCTTTTCAACGAACGCATATCCTCGGACAATCGCGTTTTCAAAGGGATACATCCTATTGTAGCAGCAAAAGGCCACAGCGTAGCCTTAGCACCTCTTGTTCGTCGTGCGCTAGACGTTTTACCAGCTGCAGAAGATGAAGACACCAAGAGAATCTGCTACGCTAGTGGCGTGAGAAAACAGGTTCCGGACTTTGTATCTGTAACTCGCGGACCAGGAATGCGTTCGAATCTAGGAATTGGACTGGATATGGCAAAGGGACTGGCTGTTGCTTGGGGCGTACCCTTGGTGGGTGTTCATCATATGCAGGCTCATGCTCTGACACCACGACTGGCGAGAGCATTGGGAATGAGTATGGGCGAAGCAGAAGAGTCTAGAGGAGGGCCAGAGTTTCCCTTTATTTCTCTTCTTGTTTCTGGCGGCCATACTCAGCTTGTTCACTCAACAGGTCTGACAGAGCACTCCATAGTCGCTACGAGTGGTGACATTGCCATTGGAAACCTCCTTGACCAGACAGCTCGTGATATCTTGCCGTCCGAGATATTCGATGCGAGCGAGCATGTCATGTACGGCCGTCTTCTGGAAGCTTTCGCCTTTCCACCAGGCGCTGATACAACTGCCGCTTACGAAGCTGTCTTTACGCCGCCGGCCTCCCGTTCCGCAGAAATGACTCCTTCACCCACAGGCTACGACTGGAACATCCCCACGCCTTTCCGACAAACTCGCAAGCTCGCCTTCTCTTTCAGCAGTATTTATACCCACGTCCATGATCTGGCGACATCCCGCCCTTCCATGTCCATCCTTGAACGTCGCACTCTAGCACAGCACACTATGATGGCAGCGTTCGTTCACCTCGCAGGTCGATTATGTATCGCTCTTGACGACAAGCCCGAGCTACGAGCTGCCAAGACTCTCGTTGTGGCGGGTGGTGTTGCTAGCAACAAGTTTCTCATGCACGTTCTACGGTCCATGCTGGCTGTTAGGGGTTACGAGGGGATGGAGATTGTTGCGCCACCCGTGGAGCTGTGTACTGACAATGCGGCCATGATAGCTTGGACGGGTATGGAGATGTTTGAGGCTGGGTATGAATCTGAGTTGAGCATCACAGGGATTGGAAAGTGGCCTATGGACCCTGAGGTTGGGGAGGGGATATTGGGCGTCGATGGCTGGATAAAGAGAGACTGAAGGAGTAATGATTGGAAAATCGTGAGCAGATCTGTACCATTATATGTACCATGTACACTACCAGGCCCATTTGGGAGCTCTACGCTCTGTATCGAGATAACACTATATTTTTGTGTATACCTCACTTCATAGGCTCAATGTCTTCATTCCTAGTACTAAAGCCCTCTAATCCAACTTGCTTGTCACATTGGTGAACTCGCCCTTTTCCAGCTTGGTCTTCCAGAAGATAGGGTTGGTATCGTTGAAGCCATGCTTCACCCAGCCCTCCTCCTTGACGTGGTACAGGTTGATGTAACCACCTGAGTAGGCATCTCGGTGAGTGGCGGCCAAAATACTTCGCTTTCCAAGCTCAAGAGCCTCTTCCTCTGACAGGTCGTACTTGTACTCGGCATCGAGAACACCATAGGCGAATGTCTGACCTGACCCAACACAGAAGAGGTTACCTGACAAGCGAGTTCCATCGCTGTCGACATAGTAAAGGGCGGGACCTTCTTCCTTGGTAACTCCGGCGCACATGGTGCCCATGCTGAGGCCCATACCCTTGTAGCTGTAGACGAGGTTGGCGAGGATCTTGCTGGCGGCGGCAACGCTGATGCGGCGCTTGTGTCGGAGCTCGTGGAGGCGGCACTGCATGCCGAGCCAGGCGAGCCAGTACTGGCAGTCGGCAGCACCGCCAGCCATGGTTCCTAGCAGGACGCTGTTGATCTCAATGACCTTCTTGACGGTTTGCGAGGCGATCCAGTTGCCGGCTGTGGCTCGGGAGTCGGTAGCGACGATGATACCACCCTGGAAGCGGAAGGCGAGAGTGGTGGTTCCGTGAGCGATCTTGATGGGACAGTTGGGGTTGGATCGGTCATCTGTGGCAGCGCGAAGCCATGATGAGGGCTGCAAGCAGAAGATTGTTAGTCTGGCCGCCAGCAACGGAGAGTAGAGCTAGGTTTAGATAGCTCCATGCTTCAATGACCAACCTGAGCAACGGGAGGCATGGCAAACTTGACCGAGAGATCACCCATAGAGTTCAGAAGCTCATCCTGCTCGTCAAAAGGCTCATTCTGCTCGTACGAAGGCCGGCTATATTTCGAGACGAGGGAGTCCATATTGGCTGTATTGGAGAAGTAGTAGTCGGGAGTTTATCGACTTGTAATGATGGGTCGAAGCTGATGCTGTTCAAGTGCCTCGGATCCTCGAGCTTTCGGTGACTTTTAGACGACCGAAGGCAGCCTTGCTCTAGTTGACAAATATCGAGGCTATCGAGTCGTGATGTTTTCGTTATATCGTGATCGGAATTGGCGTTGTTGGCGGCAAAAGGTGGATGATAGATTGTCAAGGTGGAAATGGAGGTGGGAATGCGTAGCTCCAGACAAGGAAGCTGAGGCTCAGGCAGCTTCCAATGCGCGCGTCAACTGAACCTCCAAATTCGGTACGTACCGCAGGCGCTCAGTGACGCTACCCCTCAAAAGGGTGGCCTTATGCTTTATCGATTACTGCCTTAGGTCTCAGGCATTCAAAATACATCACCAACATGGAAGCACATTTGCTCTTAAAAGATATCATAATCGCTGACTTTATGAATTATTTCAAACGTAGGTTTTACTCATTGATCGCTTCCTAGGTTCCATGCCAAGTTTCCCAATTCCATATCCTCGTACCCAATTTACGCCTAACAAAACCGTCAAACGAGGATATCACACTCGCTCTACCACCACCCCTTTGCTTGATTGAGCATCTTCCTCTCTCCTCAGTTCATAAAAGAACACACAGTTCCATTCTCCAACGTGAACTTAGATATTACCAAGATTTGAATTCGAATCAAGACAAAGAAAAAACAATGACGTGAAAAGAAACATCATGTATAGCGAGGATCAACCTTCAGACTCGTGTAAAATGAAAATATCCTCTTCAACACCAAAGCTGTGGCTTAAGGGTTTGGTGTCACTTCCCGGCTGGTTCGCCCATCCCGCTTACTCATGAAGCTTCGACGCATATGAGCTTTGGGGCTGTCGGGGACCAAGTTTGTTTCCGTCGATTGGAAACTGCTCTTGAGTGTCACAGTTCCGCTACCAACAGATAGTTCCTTAGCAACAGAAGAACCTGACTCATCGACAAAGTAGATGTGTTCGCCTAGGTCATCATCGCTGCTAAAAGTGTGCTGTCCCTTGGCCTCGATCTTGAATTGTGTATCGGGTGAACATGGGAACTTGAAAGTCTCGCCAAACGTCCATTGTCCGCTGTTGGACTTGAAGTGTTTGGTCTTACCCACTGTCTTCTCCTTGGGGCTGATCTGTGTGATAACGACGTATAGATCAGACGCAGGAGGAAAGCCTGAAGCGTCCACCACAGTAAAGGAAGCCGTGCCGCTCGGCGCAGCTCCTGGGTTGGCGCTGTGAACTGATGACTGGCCAATACTCTTCGACCTAACATGACCATTGCTGGTAGGGGGTCGACTGCCATTCGAGCTACCTTCCTCGTTAATAGCAGGCGATCGGCGAAGTCCGCCATTGGCACCAGCGTTACCATTAGGGCTTAATCCTTGAGGCTCAACAACTTCATTGTCTTCTTCGATAACGTCATTGTTGTTGTCCTTCTTGTTGAAGATACCACGACGGAGGAATGAAGCACCCCTACCAACGCCGTGGCCAACAACTCCCGCCACAGCGGCACCGCCCTTGATAGGTGCACCGGCGACACCAGTGACGATACGCCCAGGAGCTGACGAGAAAGTGCCGCCAAAGGTGGATGTGCCCTGACGTGCTCGCTGAACATAGGCGGGTCGGAATAGAAGTCGGATGCGCACGCTTCCCGACTTGCCGTCGAGAATATATTTAGTCTCAGACGGTCTGAACGGATCCAGAGACTCGAGATTGATGTCGGCTCCACCCAAAAAGTCGGGCTTGTCCGCAAAGTCATAATCCCATACAGTCAGTTTGAACTGTGCAGCAGTCCTTGAAGGAACGTTGACCTCAAAGTATTCATTCCATGTGGGGTTCAATGTCTTCTTCTGCACCTTGGTCTTATGAATCTCCTGGCCATTTAGCTCGAATTTGCAGTAAGGGTCACTCTTGCCGTTACGATCAGCTGAAGGAAGATCGGTAGCGTCGAGAACATCAACACGAAGTGTACCCATGTTGTTAATACTTTCGCTTGGGTCGAGTTGCATCCTGACTGGGATGTACTTCAAGCTGACTTTGACACTTGCAGGACGCCCGTCCTCACCCTTGAGCTTCAAAGTTGTCGGGTTGTTCTGTCGAGATGTTAGTCTAGACAATTGTATATGATGTTATTGTACGAGTCTTACCAAACATTGCTTGAGCGTTTCCAAGGTGTTGCCAGCGAGCGATGCCAGGAGATCGTCGTCGTCGTCACCCTTTTTGCGAGCTCGAAGAGTAAGTCGAGAAAAGTCAAGCTCACGGATGAAACAATCTCCAATCTCTTCAAACTTGTGGTGTTTGCTGCGAGCAGTCGAAGAGATATAAGATGGGTATGCCATGTCGTCTACAAGAACCTCCAAAAGACTGTGGCTTTCGGGCATCTCTGCCTCCATGAGTCGGAAGATGAGCAAACCACTTTCGTACTTGAGAAGCTCCTCGGGAGAAAGTCGGATTTTGCGAGGGCCCTTGGGCATTTCGATCGAGGGACGCCCAACTGTGGTGGGTGTAGGGGGCTCCAGGTAGTTCTCTTTGGGCTTGTCCAAGCTGGCGCTGAACTTGCCAGCTTCGGCAGATCTTTGAGGAGTAGGAGATTGCTCCTCTCCAGAAGAAGAATCTTTGTCCTTCTCTGCTTCCCCCTCCTTCTCCTTCTCTTCCTCTTCTTCATCCTCAGGATCAGCAACATTCAAGCAAGGGTAAAAGGCAACCGTGTAATGCAGTGTACCCTTGGCGATGCCCTTGTTGTGGAGACGAAGGCCGTCTTCCCGGAGTTGTTTCTTGTCATGGACTAGATACTCGCCAGTTTCATCTTGGGCAACATAGTCCGCAGCGAAGAGTTCAATCATTCCGAGACTGCGGTCTTTTCCAACCTTTTCTGTATCCATGACTTCCAAGGCGAGTCTGTCTCGAGCAGAATGAATGGGCACATATAGGACCTCGTCCCACTCAGGGTTCAGATCATTTCGGAAGGTAACAGTTCGTGCTTTTTCAATACCAGAGAGCAGAATTCGAGTGTAAGGGTCCGACTTGCCAAATGCTTCAAAGTTTCGGAGATCAGTAGCTTTCTTGAAATGCAGGCGGATGACACCGATAGGGGTAACATAGCCACCAGTGCTCGCCACACCAGAGATGGCAACTGGTCTCCACTGCGCCATCATCTTGACGCGACCAGTGTGAGCACCGTGTAGGTTGTACCATTCCTTGCCTTGCTCCATGCACTCGAGCATCTCGTCGAGCTTGATCTGGTATTTTCCAAGAACTTGATCACCTGTAAGGTCACGGTCGTCCTTGACTGTAATACCAAGCTTGGCCTTCTTTCGGTCTGTAATAAGAATCTCCTTTGAACCATTGTCCCAAATAGGATTGTTGGTGCGCTTCAGCTTCTTGGTTTGGTGGACTTCCTTGCCATTCAAGAACATAACGGCGTAAGGGTTGAGTGATCCTACAAGACTCTTGGTACCGTCCAAATCCTTGGCTTGTTCCACAGTAAATCGGAGAATACCCTGGTTCGAGGGAGGCGGGGGCTCGTCTTGCCCTTCTGCATTCTTAACAGTCTCAAGCACAGGAAAGAAACGGATGTCACATGAAACAATGCCGCGGGCCTTGCCATCAGAAATGACCTCTAATCGCTGGTTCTCGTGAACATTGAGCTCTTCAATACTTTCAAGGGGGAAAGAGGCGACACCAAGCTCCTTGGACTTGCGGAAATCGTTATGGTCAAAGACTTGCATATCCAAGGTGTCGTTGAAAGATGTGACAATGATGTAGTGTGTCTCGTTCCATCTGGGGTTGGGGTTGTCTGGAACGACCTTTGTTCGGGCCAGCTCTTGGCGCCTACTCAAACTCAAGGATGCGTAAGGGTCAACAGTGCCACCGAAGTTGTCGCTGTTCTTCAGACCATGAGCGCCGTGAAGAGTTACTGCAACAACACCAATAGCCTGGTCAACTGGCGAGCCAGCAAGCATCTTGGCGACCTCGATAGGAAAGACCTTTGGCGCATACATCATTGGAGCCAAGTTGCCGTGAATTTGCTCCAGAATAAATCCCTCTAGACCAGGAATGAAATTGATGTCGAAGCCGAAGTTATCACCACCAAGGGGCTTGCAGACGTAGTCGATAGTTGGTCGTTCCAAGAAGCACATTTCAATACGGTCGATATGAGGAAAAGGGATTTGCAGCTTGATCTTGAGTCGCATAATACCAGAGAAGGCCATATCCTCGACAATGACGTCGAGTCCCTTGCTGATCATGGCCTTGCCAATTCGAATCTCGAGCACAACTTTCGGGTTGATCTTGTTCTTTAGCTGGCGGGAAGTCATGTCGTCGGTGTCGTTAGGGGTAAAGCTGAATTTCCAGTCCATCATGACAATGTCGTCCTCAGTCTTGGGGTAAGTCTTGACATGCTCCATGCGAGGGGGCTTAGAACCCAATGTGAACGTCTTGAGCTTCAAGCTGTCCAAGAATGCAGGAGTAGCAGAACTCAGGACTTGATCGACGGAGTTAATAATGGTCTGGGCAAGAACTGGTTGGTAAATAGGCCAGAACTTGACCATGAAGGAGTTGATCCATTCGAGGGATTCGTTGTCGTTTTCGAGCCTCTTGAGGGCCATTTCGCGAGAGATGTCGTCTCGGAAGTTACGTCGCACTCTTCGTAAAGATGTTCGATAGTAAGTAGAGCAGAAACACATGACAATAATGACCCAACCAAGTCCGCCGCCGAAGACAGCGACGAGCCAGGAAGTGACACATGCGAATATGATGACGCCCGTGTTGTGATACCAATCTGGCCATGTTAGTGATCTCTCTGCAGTTACGGCTGGCATTGATACTTACCACCGTACAGAGTATCTGGAAGCTTTGACTCTACCCATGTTGCATGATCGAGCAGACTCTCTTGCGCCATTGCATCGTCCTCTGGCCATCCCAGCTGCGGAGCCCATCCTGTTCTTGAGTATGGCACTTCTTCGCTTTCGGGATCGGCACCGTCTGCAAGTGGTTTGCCTTGTTCGTCGCGAGCAACGTCCAAAACTCCATCCTTGCTGGCTTCCGGTAGGTCTTCGACGGGGCCGGTGCCATCGTCGACGTCGGTGATTATGGCAGCGCCCTTGGGGCGTCTGCTTTGTTGGAGCTCACGCGGGATGGCCTGCGCAAGAGCGTTGTTAGTTTGTAGTCGCGAATGGAAGGGAGAAAGTGCGTACAGCTTTGGCTTGAGCTTTCTTTTGTTCTGGGCTCGCATCGGGGTCGAAGGTGAAAGCAGCGACACCAGCATTTCGAGACGCCTGGACGATGGACTTTTGGGCATCATCTGCAGTGACGTTGGTTTGAGGATCGCCGGCGGCTTCCACGACACCCTGCTGCTTGAGCTCCTCGGCTTCTCTGGCGGTTGACATGACGTTGTGCCGAGCAGCGTTGCTGCGGTTGCTGCTGGAATGTGTTGCTATGGGAAGTTTGTATTGTTCGCGGTTGTCAATTGGTGAAGATTGAGCTCGAAAGACCGTTGCAAAACATTCAAGTAATGAGGGCGATTTCGAACGACCCTCGTGAGGTCAGTGGGCGACCAAGTTGGTGCGTGCAAGGTTGCGATGCCCTGATAATTTGTAGCTGGTAACTTAGCTTGTAGCTGTAAGCTTGGACATGAGCTGAGCTAGTTTATTAGCTTTGAATAAGTTGTTTACGTGCCTAGCTGGTGAGACCAGCAAGTAAAAGGCAACGAGAGATTAGCTAGGAAATGAAAGGAAAGGAAATAGAGAAGAGAATGAGAATGAAGGAGGGGGTAAAGTAGAAAAGAGGGTGAAGAAGGATGTAAGAAGGCCAAGCCAAAGGAATTGGGATGGGAGGTGGAGGGAAACCTGGCACCAAGTTGACAAGACAGGTATAGGTACAGCCTATATTGCGCTGTGCTGCAAGCTTGTGCAACCTGCAGCTGCAGCTCAGTGTTAGGTCCAAGGAATGGGCTTTCTTCCAAGCTTGAAGTGAGTTGCGCCGAATGTTGATCGACGGCGCACAGGTCATTGATAGCAGAATACAGATTGGATACTTTTATGAATATAGTTTCATGTCGCTTAAGAGTGGTCACTTTCAAGTCACTTTCGCTAGTAGGGAGCTAATTTGTGGCTCAGCAAGGGAAATTGAAGCCTGCCCGCGCATCCCATCACTACCTATCAGGAGTAGTTACTAACGGCAGAACCTTTTTTGAGACAGTGATTGAGAACAGTGGAGGTAAGAGTGCTTTTGCGTGTCTACTTGAGGAAGAATAAGTTGCGATTGCGGGCCGGAATAGCGCGGCAGAGTGGACCGCCATTCACTGTAAGTTATGAGGATCCTACAATGCCGAAGCAATGAATGGACAAATGCCATTTGGCCTCAATAAATATTGGGGAGCACACGTAGATCCGAAACATTTGTTCTCCCTGACCTCCATCTAATTCTTGTATTTGCTGTGCTGTAGATACATACTATACTGTGCAGTGCAGTGCAGCGCAGCTACCCATTGTCTTTGTATCACAGACGGAGACTTTTCGTTCCTCTAACAATACTATGAGCCATCATGCTGACCAAAGAGGAGAGAGCGATTTATTTACAATAGTTACTTGTTTCTACAAGCCAAGTCAATGAAAGTCACACCATATCCAAAAGATAAATTCCCTCTCTTGTTCCGTACCCTGTCAATGATAGACCCCTGCTATGCTGAAAGCAACTGGACACGACCTACGTAATTGATGGTCTGGGGGAAGACCAAAGCTCGATTTTGCTTGTGACGGAGGTCCTAATCACTCCCTAGCTCCCTCAGCGCGACATGGGTCAGGGAACTGGACCTGGATCCCAGGCTTCCAGGCTTCCAGGCTTCCAAGATCGAGGAAAGGTGTCTTGTTTTAGTTTAGGCCTCTCAAACCCCTGTCTCCTTGATCGCTAGCACCGCTGAGGTTACGTAGCTCACAAGAATAGACTCTCAGCCGTCTGTCTGCACTGACCCTTGCAGTTCGGATCCCTGGATTCGTGACTCCTCTCGCCTGTCGTGATGACTTCCCTCTGGCTCCACGATAACTAACATGACGTGAAATAAGGCGAGATGAGAATTATGTGGCCTCCTATAGCTTATCTTGCTTATTTATAACCAGGAGAGTCCCTTGTGGATAATCTCATTTCGACACTCGCCATACCGTTGTCTGCTATTGTCGACTATTGTCTACTAATCCACTACTTATCACTTTGCATTTCTAGCCTTCCCTTTTCTCCATCAGCTGCATCCCCATATTGAATGCACAGCCACACTAATTGACCCGAACACTAACGTTAGATGGGAAACTAAATCAAACCAGAGGATCCCAATGAAATGCCGTGTTTTCACTACTAAGTTATCCACCTTCTCATTGGGTCGATAATCTCACAAGCCGTTGTTTTCTCTCTGAACCGGCTTTTTTACGCGACGAGATTCTTTCTACTTTACAAACATGCCATTCAAATGAAAAGAGAAAGCTTTTGCCCTGCAATTGACAACTTCCTAAGAACTCTGTTCCGGTTGCCTTTATAGATATCGAGGTTAAAAAGTTAAAGGCATAGGAACGGCCCTACGATATTCCTCTTCAGCATAGCGGGCTACTAGCTTAAAGAACAACAATCAACGATCCAAAGAAATAATACATCGAATCATTTAAACCAAACACAAAATGTCTTCGAACATCTAAGAAAACACACGGCCTTCTTTACTTGTAAATGAACGAGGTTATACTACACTCAAAGCCCTATCGAGAAATCCTTCCATCGTGAACGAACATGGAAGCGTCATCCTATTTCCCTATCTGTGAACTGATATAATGCATCTCTGGCTCTCGGCCTGGAGTCGACCACTACCGGTAAACAAAGATGGGCTCGGTAATCTATTGGAGTTATTTTACTGACGGGAATATTAGGTCCGTCTGATTCTTCAGCGCAAAACTCTTCGGCCTCTCACAACGAGTTGTCGCCTACTTCAGTCGACAGGTAGAAAGTCTACCTTCGCTCCATCTCCACAACAACTAAAGATCGCGGAACTTTGTTCTTCTCAGAATGTTGTGGTATCGGCAAGGCCAGGGTCTGGCAAAACGGCCACGATAGAAGCCATTGCGGCGAATCACCCAGACAAACGAATTGGCAGCATTCTCTTCTCAAAAAGACTCCAGAGTGAAACCTCTCGTCGCCTTGAAAATTATCACAACAGCGATGTTTTCACTTTTCACGGCATGGCCGGCAAACTATTGGGGAAAACCGTGCCAAACGATAAGGAACTTCTCAAGCTACTTCGAAAGGTTGATAGTAGCGGCAAGCTTCCCTTGTGGAATTCTACACCCTTTGACATCGTTGTCTTGGATGAGTTTCAGGACTGTAATCCGGAAACCTTTTGGCTAGTTGCTTGCTTTCTTCGGTCCAACAGTGTCGCAAAAGGAGGTCAGCCCGCACGTATTGTCGTGCTTGGCGACGAACGTCAATCGATATACCGTTTTCGCGATGCAGATCCGAGATTTCTGACTCTGGCCCCAGAGTTGCTAGGTCCGATAAGTCCTTACCCTTTTGATAAGGTTCAACTAGGGAAAAGCTTCCGATTACCCATGCCGACGGTCGAGTTCATCAATCGGGGGTTTCTGGGCGGAGAGCAGTACATCTCGAGCTCAAAGCACGGCCCAAAACCCATTGTCCTAAGGTGTGATATTTTTGACAAGCACGCATTGGCCGAAGAGCTATCCCCCTACATAAAACGTTATGGGCCAGAGAATTGTGCCATCATAGCGCCTACTGTCCGCAAAAGCGATCCACTCAAATATCTGACCAATGCACTGGCTGAGGTTCATGGAATCCCTATATCTGTACCTATTGATGACGATGCGCCTCTCAACGATAAGGTGATTCATGGGAAAATGTGTATCTCTACCATTCACCAGTTTAAAGGCCGTGAGCGCGAACTGGTAATACTTCTTGGCATGGACGCTTCATATTTGGAGTATTTCGGTCGCGACCTACCAGACGACAAATGTCCCAATGAAGTCTTTGTGGCCCTGACACGCGCTCTAAAACAGCTTGTCTTTTTGTACAACTACAAAAGAAAAATGATGCCTTGTGTTTCTGTTGATGCTGTATATGACACAGCAGAGGTCATCAATATGATAAGTGACGAAGCAGACGGTAACAAAGCAGACTGTAACAAAGCAGACTGTAACAAAGCAGACTGTAACAAAGCAGACTGTAACAAAGCAGACTGTAACAAAGCAGACTGTAACAAAGCACGCATTAAGCCACCTGACAAGCCCGGTCGGCCTCTTCAGCTCGGTCTTCTTCTTCCAAAGACCTGCTCTGCCACCGAAATAGCTCGATACCTTCAGGACGATGCTCTTGATAAAGTAGTCAAGCGCTTTGTGCGTGTCAAACGGGTTTCGCCGCGTTCGTCGGGCCACGGACGTATCGACATACAGAATGTGGTCGCTTCAGATAAGAAAAAGGGATTCTTCGAATCTGTAAGCGACATAAACGGTCTTGTCATCGCGGCAGCCCTAGAGCTTGAGACTTCAGGAACGATGAAGTCTCTGGGCGTAGGCCAAAGGGAAGTCAACAAGAACATGCCCAGGCATCCCCAACGACTGGTCTCCTGGCTTTGCCGCCACGCCTGCAGGTATGAAGCCGATATATCTGGCTACCTACCACGTATGATACAAATGGAACATCACAAGTTTGATTGGATGAGGCATGAAGATCTTGAGCTTGCTCGGCGTCGACTTGATAAAGAGCTGGTAGATACACACTTGGTGTTTGAGGTTGGAATGTGCGGCAAGTTTTACGTTGATGACCAGGATACTAAGCTCTGTGGCCGAGCAGATATTGTCACATCTTCTCCTAGCGATCAAGACGGGGAGAGCGACAAGACAATCTGGGAAATCAAGTTTGTTTCGCAGCTAACCAACGAGCATATCGTCCAGGCTTGTGTATATGCCTACTTACTAGGGTCCAGGTCTAGGAAACTACCACGCATCATATTATTCAATGTGAGGGATGGGGATAAGCGCGAGATCATACCACGCGATGGACTTGCTGGGTTGCGAAAGCTGATCACGAACGTTCTGAGACTGCGGTACACAGCTGTAGGTGAGGTTTCGTACGAAGACTTTATCCAGCGTTGTACTGAAACCACGCAAAGAGTAATGAACCTGAGCGATGGTAAGAACAAGGAATGATTACAGCATTGTATTATCATCCAAATACTTGGGGGAAGAACTACTATCACTAAATCTACAATGATCAGCGTATTGGATGGTGTTCTTTCGACCCCAACACAGAAATCCCTACTTTCAACTAGACATTCGAATAGAGAAACCTCCTCACCCTGGACATTGCAACATAGAAATGGGTATTTCGAACTCACAAACTCTGCAAAACTAGCATGGTGGACGTTCTTGAGACGAAGTAATCAGGAAACAAAAGTGTTAGCCTTTCGGGTTAGCTATCCCTCGTGCTGGGTCCAAGGGTTTACATCATGTAGTTCAAGGCGAACAAGGATCCCCCGTTACTGCTGATGACTGCAACCCCACACGGCGAAGATAACAAGAAACTTGTCTCCCAAAAACAAGCTGCTACAAGGTTTATTCCCTCCATTCGTGTAATTTCAAGAATACTGACTGATATTCTCATTCAATAGTGGAGATCAATAACTGCTTCTGTATTGATGGCAAAAGGTTCCATATCCAACACCCAACTCTTGCAATGAATGAAAGGCAAAGTGGCTAGACACTCACTCAAACTCTAAACAGCATGAAAGACGCTGACAGCAACCAAACCCCAGATCCGTTACTCCATTTCCCATATGCAATATCCCTCTTGCCAACCAATGATCTCTAAAGCATCAACTCTTGACTTGATCTTAGTATCCGAAGCCGTCGTGCTGGTGAACAGGGCATCGTCCCGGGTGCTTGACAAACCAGGATGAGATGCACGCTCGGTGGAATCGACACAAACACTCCAAGCGTGCCATAGGCACTCCGACTGTGAACTCCTCCAGACAAATGGTGCACTCTGCGTCGTCGATGCAGTCCTTCTCTGTGGCTACATACGTATACATGCCTGTCCGACGAGGGGCAACTGGTGCTCCACCTTCCCCGCCGCGGGGTGTGCCGTACGCGCTGTGCGTCTGAATGCATGTGGTGATGTGAGACTCACGTAGAGCTTCGGCGTTGGGAAGACTCGACGATGGCAACTCGCGATGGCAAATGGGGCACTCGTCTTCCTCGGCAATCTGAGGAGTTGGCGGCAGTGCACGTTGCCTAGATGAGGATTCTCCTAGTGAACTGTATCGCTCTGGGTATGAAGATGGAGAAGCAGCTTGTGCACTTGCGAGGAAACGCTCGATAGGTGTCTGATGCGCTCCGCTACGTCTCCTGTGGGAAGGGCCAGGGGAGGAGCCAGACGAAGTAGAGCCCTGAAGTTGAACGTTAGTATGTGGCGCAAATTCAGGGGGTAGAGGCAAAATTACCATTGTGACACTCCTCATCCTTGGAGAGAGGTATCGATATGGGTCACCACTAGTTCCCGGAGCAAAAACTGCACCATGTCGATTAGACGACTGTAGTGTTCCGTAAGCATCGCCAATATTGCTCCTAGACCTTTGGTGAGGAACTCGCGGAGAAAGAGTAGCTTGCGGTCCCGGACTCTGTGGTGGCGCTGTATTCGGGTCCGGGACACAGGGATTGCAGAGCCTTACTCGCTCACCTCCCGACATGTCGTTCACGTCAAAGTATCCGGCTCCCAGCCCGTCCACAAGCAGGGACTGATGCATAGCTGCTTCAGAGCCTGGGGGTCGAACGATGTACTGGTGCGGAATTATGATCCTGTGCGGCGAGCAGGAGTTGCAAACGACTCTTCCGCATTTTCTATTATGGTAAGTATACGGAGTGAGAGAATCTTAGGGTCACGGTTTGACTTACCTGCAATGATGCTTACGCACAAAGAAACTGAACTGAGCATGGCAGATGGGACAGTATGTTACTTCATTATCTGGTTGCCATCTAGGTCTTTGCGAATCTGAAGATACGGACTGGCGAGCGGATCGGGGAAGCGGAGGTAGAGCTTCTTGGAGGGGTCGAAGTGATGGCAAAGGCGCATCCATTCTTTCGCGAGACGGCGTCGCATATGTTCTTGGAGCCCTTTGGGTGTTGGTAGCGCTAGTACCTCGACTGAGCCTTTGTATATGTTCTGTATGCTCGGAAGGAGTGTTTGGAGAATCTTGTTGTTCAGACCGCCTGTTCTGGGATATGCTCTCCGAATCGTCCATCTCTGTGTTCTGTTGATTATCCGAGGGCTGTTCTGGCTCCTGGGCAACTGCCGTGCCTGCATCTTCCTCTGCGCTCGTCTCGGGATCGGTTGTGGCGGATGTGGCGTCTCTATCGTCGTCCGGTTCGTCGGCCGTAGTACTTTGCGCATCATCACCGTTGTTTACTCCTTGCGCAAGCTCTTGGTCTGAGAAACGAGAGTTCTGTTGGTCGGTGTGTTCTCGATCGGTATCTGGAGGAGGTATCTCGGGTGAATGGGAACCATGGATAGATTCTCGATCTGCCTCGCCGCTCTCTGATAGACTCCTCTCTATGGCGTGAGATGGACAGTCGAAATATCGCGAGCATTCTTGGTGGTGGAATCGAGATGTTTGCCAGGGACATGTCGGTTCTCGGTCGTTGTCCTGGTCTTGGTCTTGGTCTTGGTCTTGGTCTTGGTCGCGGTCGTGCTGGTCGTTTTGGTTTTGGTTGTCGTCACTATTAATCGAACGTGGTGGGCTATGGGAATTACTCGACAAGGGAGCGCTGTACTCTCCTGCAGATTCAGGGCCCAAATGGCCTGAAGCACCCGAAGGGCTGGCCATAGTAGCTCATCAGAGCTCGAATGGTACGATGGGGTTATTCGGCAGCTGTAGAGCTTCGTCCGAGGCAATACAGAAAGAATGATGTATAAGATGATGGGTTCCTTGTGTGGGAGAGGAAGAATTCGAGGGTCGAATGCGGTGTTTGATGGTAGGTAGGTATGTTGCGTTGCAGCTTAGTTTATTCCCTGTCCTGTAAGTGCGATTAGAAAATGGTTGGTTCGATGTAGGTAGACTCGCATCCGCATGATGCATGACAGCCAGGATTGAGGGAATGTTGTCTGGACTGGACTGGAGGACTAGACTAACTTTTTGAGTGGCGAGGCAAGGATTAGACTACTTGATGAGATAAAATGATGTTTTTGTGATGATGCGAGTCAAGTTGACATAAATTTAATATTAGCGAACCTTTGATATGGAAGGTTTGAATCATTCCGCGTTGAGTTTGGACTTTGGAACCTTCAGAGAGTCCCTGGGCTTGGCCTGACTGGGCTGGACGGGCTGGGCTGGACTGGCGTCTGAGGTTTGAGGGGCTGCCCGAAGAGTGGAGGCTACTAACTAATTCGCCCACGCGATCACCCTTGCATCACCCTCAGAGCCTCTAACGTTACCTCGTCTGAAACTACCTAAACCTCACTTGGTAACCTGGACGCTAAAAGAGCTGCTGCTTATCAGGTGGACACTATGTGATATTAACATGGGCTGGACCCTTTATCACCTCTCAAGGTTGTCATCGTTAATCAATCCAATCTCATCTACTAATGAGTTGGGATACTAGGTCTAGACCCCCTTTTCAATATCCTTACCCTATATCTTCAACAGATCCAATCCAGCCCATATTGTTTAGGTAGAAGGTCTCACTTCATCACCCAGACCCCCCAACTCTTCTTTCAACTCAACTCCGCTCAATGCCACTGCTACTGGCTTACTCTCCTGAAGAACAAACATCATCCGAGCCCATTTCTCTTGATCCACATTAACCCATTGATGCATTGTTCCACGCTGAACTATCACATCCCCTCTCTTCAACAAACGACTCTCGCCTGAGTCCAATACCAGTTTCATCTCATCCTCTAGCACGACACCACAGTCTATACTCAGTGTTCTATGCATGTTGCTTCCACCCGGAGGAATCTGCGATGTAGTTTTGATATGTCTTGATGTCCGAATCGCCTATGAGGTCAACTGGAAACCCCCGAGTCACATAGCCAAGGCGAAAGTTGTACTTTGTGAGGATATTTGTGGGCATTTCATCACTGAGTTGAGTGTCGATATGGCTTTCCCGTCGTAATTGTGCCTAGTAATGGACCGTTTCGGTACAGGTAATTGGTGATCAGCCATGATGTGGCAAAAGAAGAGAGACAGACAGGCCCAGTATGATACAATCCGAAAGCAAAATAAGCTCTTCATTGTAGGTGTATATATGACAATCTCACTCATGAGTTTCCTCTCATTCGAGGAAGTTGGGATGTCGTTTTATAGTGATATTTTCTAATACAAGCTCCGTATTCTGGTGACGGAACATCTTTGCATACACGATATTTTAATGTATTCAATGACGTTCTTGTGTTTCTATCTTTCATTCATTCCTCTTGGGCCACGATAAATTCTGTAGCAAGGTGCGGCTTGTTGCGTATGTTGTGATTGATTCGGGTTCCGCCCCCAGGAACTCTAAGTAACCAATTGGAGGCTGGACGGATACGAATAACCTTGTTTGTAAACTTGAGTTGATTAGACTTATCCTTGTGCATGTATCTTTCGGAACTTGCCATGTGTTGAAATTAACCCTTGTTGTCCTCGAGTCAGAATACCTTGTCGCGAGACTCAACTTACCAAGGGTAACTTGCATGCGAATTCATCGCAGAGTTTCCTTGGAGACTCCGATGCTGAAGAGATGCCCCTTAAAATCTTGTACACGCGTTCACAAGATGTGATGGTGAGTTTTACGTAGCACATGATAGTATGTGAAACACCAACAGAACTTATCATCTCAGAGCAAGCCTGAAAGGTTACACAGACCGAAGAGACGAGAATCCAATGATGGATAACGTTAACACCAAAGAAGATAAACCCGCCGAGCCTATCCTCTGTTGTCTCTCATCTCTAACCTAAAGCAAGTAGGGGAGTAGGGGGGAAAGCCGCTACTGTATGCATTACGTGGACTGATAAAATGAGGTATTCGCGTCTTTGTGTGGTTGATTTATTTTACGCCAATAGAACCTAGCTTATTCGTCTTGACGCCATCAGACATTGACGTACACAGGTTTGAAAAGTGACATGAGAGGGCATCGCGGTATTAAATAAGTGTCTTGGCACGGCTGAGTCGGCCACTTGAAGGAGAGTGAGGCAGGGTTGTTTTTCGGACAATGGAGTGTCTTACGAAACCTGTTCTCGCATCCTTACAAGATCAGATAATCTAAGCCTGAGAGCCTCGTCGATTGATCAAAGAGAAAGGGAAAAAGGCGACGTACTCAGTCGAGTCGAGACGTAATGGTTTCAAGCCGGAGCTTTTCAAGTATGGGGCCCTAGGAGCTGAGTACGTATGCATTTAGTCTCAGTCTCGGTACATGGATAGTCACCAACCAATACTGCATGCTGGACTAGTGTATAGTTCGATTTTGGTGTGCAAAATTTCCATCTCTATCCCCATACTCAATGAACCCTTGCTGGTGCGCATAGGCGCGCTGACGACGACAGATATCAAGTCAAACAGACGCTTTGATTATTGTCATCTCCAAGACAAATCGGCTCCGATATCGAAGCCGGAGTTTGACCAAAAAGGGCATTGGACTACATTCTAGGCTAAGTTCAGCTGAAAATGTGACGTTCAACGAAACGTTAAAGATTCTCTCCCCAATTTTTCCTCGTCCTGGCTTGTCACTCAATCCTTGCACTGACATAACTGATGAATTGACGAGCCAATCATTCATTCCTAGCTTGAAATATCCCTGATAACTTCCGCTTAGTCTATGATAATCTATTACCCGCGACTATATCCGCAGCAATTTCCGGTCAAGTATTGATTCTTTAACAGGTACTTACAGCCCTACAACAGTAACTCGGCACTTGCCTACCATACATTTTACTTACTATCCAACCATAAGCATCTTTATTCGCTGTAACAATTTTGTTTTTATTTCCTTTTATTTATATATATACTCAATGCCATAACTGGAAATAACCACAGTCTCTCCAGGCTTGTGATTGTTTCCAACGAGTTACGCCATGTCTAATCCTTTACCCTCATCCTCTTCAACGAACCCTCCTCCATCGAACCCTTCAACGGACACTTCAAACATTGCAACACCTGCCCCTAATACTGAAAAGGGACATCAACTCTATGTCTGTGGCCATTGTGGTAGACGATACTCAAGACCAGAACATCTCCAGCGTCATGTCCAAACTCACACTCTGGGCCGTCGCTTTGCTTGTGGGATCTGTGGAAAGACGTTCGCTCGTGCTGATTTGAAGAAACGTCATGAGGCAAACCACGAGAACGATGACTCCAAAAAGCGACGACGCACTACCACTGCTCTCAACTCTGGACGAGTCACCCATGCTTGTAAAGCTTGTGCCGCTGCGAGGGTCAAGTGTCAAGAGGAGAAGCCTTGTCAGCGATGCACTCGTCGTGGGTTGACTTGCGTTTCTTCAGAAGCAGGTACTGCAGCAGCCATGAACCTGGTTCATTTATCTGCAAGCGCGCGATCTCAAAACGATGACGAGTATGAAGCCGGTCCTAGCAGTGGCCCTGTTCCGACATCCTTTCCTATCGATCAATCCTCTTTGTATGGACAATCCATCCAATTGCAATCTCAACCCCAATCTAGATCGGGCACTCCTAATACAGGCGACCTCACCAGATCCGAAGCTAGCTCTTCCCAACAACCCGACGCAGACCAACTCCCCTTTTGCGACTTTCTACGAGATGTCTTGTATGAGCAGCAGTATGATCAGCCAGCCAGAATGCCAGACAACCAAGGTCTCGACGTTCTGGATTTCTGCAACGACACCAACATGGAGCTCTCAGACATGGACTTTGGCTTATTGGATCACTGGAACGCAGGCGGGACCAGCATGCACAACATGACCGCAATACCAGCACAGCCGGATACACCCAGATCAGACAACTCTGCTGACGTGGCACATGCGCATATACGACAGAATCTCGTCACTGCTTGGGATGTGTCCCCTTGGCGATGGGACCCGGTGGCAAAGGATAATGCATTCGGCGAACAAGGAAATCTTCCAGTGTCGACAAAGGATGTGGCGTCTTTTCAAGCTGAGGCTTCTAAAGGAGGCCTCAGACGAGTCGTTGACCAAAAGCTGGACTTTGCTGCTCGCGATGGTGTCCTGGCACTTGTTCTCGGAGCTTGCCAACCTGAAGCCATGTCAAGTCGTATTTCAGGGTCCTTTCCTTCGGCAGATCTCCTGGATACTATGTTGCATGTATTCCTCAACTCCCATACCAACCAAGTATCCGAATACATCCATTTCCCCACTTTCAAGCTCAACGAGCAGGAGCCTGAGTGGATTGCTGGAGCCGCAGCAGCTGGTGCTGTGCTAACTCCTATACCAACACTACGAAAGTTTGGTTATGCTCTTCAAGAAGCTATTCGTATGTATTCCCATGATGAAACTAGTATTGCGTTGCTAATAGCTATTGCTTAGGAATCGTCATGCCCAAACGAGTATGTACCCATATTGACAACTTTACCGAGCTCTGACTGACCACGACAGTTCGAAGAAAACAACGAATCGATCCTGAACATAGGCCTGATACAAGCTATTGTTATCGGCCAAGACACTGGTGTCTGGAGTGGAAATCGGCGCAAGATGGAGATTGCAGAATGCCATGTCAACATTCCCACCACGGTACGAAACATTGGCCATGGTGTTCGATCTTTCAACTAATATGACTAGATGATGCGCTACCGTGGAAAGTTCCAACGCTCTACATACCCAATGCTTTCAGTAACCGCCGATGACGAGGGTGCCAATCTTGAACAGAAATGGAGGACTTGGGTTGACATGGAGAAATGGAAACGGTAAGCACTCATACTGAAAAGACCTACTACTTTCTTCAGTTGCTAACAATGCCACAGTTTCGTCTTTCACCTCTTCCTACGCGATAGTCAGCAGTCAATGACAGCCTTGACCAACCCCGTCATGTCATATGCTGAACTTACACTTCCCCTGCCTGCATCCAAAGAGCTCTGGTACGCCAAAACAGCCAGGGAGTGGAAGCAAGCATACTTGAGACGAGAAGATGGGCATGTTAAGCGAGCCCCTTCAGTTGGCGATTTATTCCGTGATCTGAACCTTCTTGCAGAAAACCGACACAGACTAGATGTGCAGCTTTCGGCAGCAATCTATCTCCAAGCCTATTGGCTTCTGATATTGGAGTATAGAAACCTGTGCTCATCATACAGGATACGATCCTACACCCAGGACCCGTATGGAAACACCAATTCGTTACTAGACGCACGCCGGCACCAGCTTTTACAAGATTTGCAGACTTTCAAGGTTACAACCATGAACTGGCCTGAAATCACAGCACAGGAGCGGCTCCTGCTCAATCAACTTATGATGGCATTGCATGTATCTACAGACGATCTCCAGCTCTTCGCGGGCAAGGAGGGTGACGAACAAGCACATCGAGCATTTCACGTACTCCAGCAATGGGTCGAAAGTGTTGATTCTCGAGCAGCTATATGGCACGCCGGTCAAGTCCTCCGGTTCGCCAAGCTCTTCCCATCAGCACAGTTGAAAAACTTTTACGCCGTTGGAGTACACCATGCGGCGCTTGCCATCTGGACGTATGGCGTAATTAAGAAGGCGGGAGGTAAACAAGATTTATCTTCCCAACACGAGAAAATATACATAGACGGACCAGAATCCCCGAGTATACAGAGGTACATCAACATGGGGCAGGGACTTCCTGTTTTTCGAGGGCCAAACAGTCGCAACGGGGTATCTGAGGCGACAATGGAGAACCCCAAAGCAGGCATGGAGGCCATACACGAGATTCTCCAGGCTAACTTTGGAGGCGCAAACAGGATGGCGCCTGCAATCGTAGAAAATTTGTGTATATTGATACGACAGCTCGGCAATGTTGCGTGGGCAGTAGGGCTAGGATAACGGCTGTTCGATATACGAATAACATTTTACAATTATAGTATGATTGTTCTAAGCATCTAATGACAGAAGTGTACGTATGGCCGTATCCTAAGCTATAGTTAATCTCTGCCTCATCTTCCTAGTCAATGTTGGCACTCCAACTGTCAGCTTCGGCCCTATCGGGAGCTAAATAGACGAAAGAGCTTAAGATCCATAGTGACGTTATTCCTCCAACAAAACCTACACCTCTCAATTTTGACCTGTCGTTCCTGTTGATCATGGCTACATTTCAAGTTTAAAATAGTGGCTTCTATTTCCTTCACATGTCGACGAGATACTTCTTTTTCGTTTAATCACTGTGGCTGCATTATAGTCTCAAGGCCCGATACACACAATCAGGCGTGGCTGAACAAGCGTTAACCAATCCTCTCGCCCACGTTTTCCAACTTCCAACTTTGTTCTCAGTACATTGATATTCTTAAACTTTTACCTGTAAAAGATGGCGTCTCAAGATACTTCAACCGCTCTCGTGGCGACAACGACTGTCGTCTCGACGCTTGTGTTCCTTTTCCTCGCTCGCGCGCTCCTCTATCCCGTTCAGCCAAAGACGATTCGCAACCCACTCAGATTGGGCGTCTATGACAAGACTAATGCTGACAAGGTCAAGAATCTCGTGTATCAGCCTGATCAATTTCCAGGTGCTCGAGATGTTGAAACTCCGGTGAGTAGAATCACAGCCTACTATGAATGCCCAAGACTTGTTAACTTTGGAAAAGTATGGAAGCATTCGCGTCTACGAGTTTGGCCCTGAGGATGGCGAAAAGGTCCTTTTTGTCCATGGTATCAGCACGCCCTGCATCACACTTGCTCCTATTACCCTCGCCCTTTCTAAGCGAGGCTACCGAGTGATGCTCTTCGTGAGTCCCTCGTCTATTCGTTTGATACATAAACTGACATATCCTAGGATCTATTCGGTCGTGGCTTCTCTGATGGTGTCGCTGATATTCCTCACGATGCCCGTCTCTACGTCTCTCAGATGCTTCTCGTTCTAGCTTCCAGCCCTCTCGCTTGGACGGGCACGAATGCTTTCCGACTTGTCGGTTACTCTCTCGGCGGCGGTATTGCCATCCACTTTGCGAATGCTTTCCCAAACCTCGTCCGTGATCTTGTCCTTCTCGCCCCAGCTGGACTTATCCGCGCCGCCTCCTTCGGCCGTGTCTCCCGTTTCCTCTTCGTCTCTGGTCTCGTCCCTGAGCGTATCTTGGCTGTAGCAACACGTCGTCGTCTTCAGAAACCCATCGCTGCCTCGGCAAGGCCGTCTTCTACGGCGCCCATCGAATCTGTCACGACGCCACCGCTCAACGTCGTCGAGGCGGAAGTGAACCCAGTATCCGGCAAAGCCGTTACGCCGTTGGAGATGCGCGTCATGGAGTATGTGCGTTGGATGGTTACTAATCACCAGGGTTTTGTACCGGCCTTCATGTCGAGTATTAGGTTTGCGCCTCTCATGGAACAGCATGATGCTTGGGCCAAGCTGGCCCGTCGCGCTCCTGGCACTACAGCCATCCTTCTGGCCAGGTCTGACGAAATCATCAACCCAGATGATTATCGTCGGGATGCACTGTCTCTCGTTGGCGGCGAACAGCATGTGCGCTGGCGTGTTCTGCCAGGTAGCCATGATTTCGTCATGACCAACCCCCAAGACATTCTTAGAGAGATTCAAGACATGTGGGAAACAAAGGCATAAACTGGCACACGCAATGATTTTTAATTTCACGAATTTAGGATAGATTGAGATTTGTGAACAGAGATAGTTAGAGCTGGGATTCAAGCTTGGAGTCATTCGTGTCCCCTGGGGTTTGAGAATAAGTCTAGAGTAGAGAGCCTTTACATGTGAAGAAATCCATATCCGTTTCCCGTAAACCTAACTGGAGCCCATCAGATGCCACTCCTAACGGTCCAGGGCTTGGCTTTGACACTGTAAATAAAGTCAGCACTTTGAATCATAACAAAATCACTAAACATCAAGCACTTACCATATGCCAGTACACTCCTCGCTTCTTCAACAACTCTACATGGTTGCCTTGTTCCAGCAGCTGGCCATCTCCCAATACAAAGATGACATCTGCATTCTGTACTGTAGCCAGTCGATGTGCAACCACAAGCATTGTCCGTCCCTCTTTAGCCCTTTCAAATGCCGCCTGCACTAACTTCTCGCTTTCTGAATCGAGTGAACTTGTGGCTTCGTCAAGTAGAAGGACTTTGGGGTCGCGAATAAGAGCACGAGCGATTGCCACACGTTGCTTCTGGCCACCTGAAAGTGAGACACCGCGGCTTCCGACGCCGGTATTATAACCCTCTGGCAGAGAAATGATGAAGTCGTGGATTGAAGCATCACGGCAGGCTTGGTGCAACTGTTCATCTGTAACTGACGAGGGGTCGACGCCAAGGAGAATGTTTTCTCTGAGAGTACCCTGAAAGAGTGTAGCTTCCTGAGCAACGAGGGAAAAGTACTTCCGGTACTCAAACACATTGATATCGGTTGCGTCCTTTCCATTCAGTAGGATCCGGCCCTTGTCTAGGTCGTAGAATCTCTCCATCAGTGAAACAATGGATGTTTTTCCACATCCGGATGCTCCAACAAGAGCTGCAAACTGTCCCTTTTCAATCTTTAGGTTCAGTCCTTTAAACACAGGCGTGCTTCTGGTTGGGTACTTGAAGTGGATGTTGTCCAGTTCGATTGACATTCCGCCATCAGTATCGGGAATCTCTTGCGAGGTAGACACCTTATCTTGAGGCCGACTTTCTCTCATCTTTAGGATACGATCAGCGGCCGCTGAACTAAGGGCAGCATTGGGACCGAATCCAAGAGCTTGACCGGCTGCCTCGCTGCCATTGGTGATTGCCATGAAACAGACGAAAAATGCAACAAGACCAATCTCATATCTAGAAAGCAGACGACCTCCCCACCAAAAGTTGAGTGCTTGACATGCCATGCTGGCGCTGTCAGAAAAACCGAAGAGTATGCTCACCCATCTGGCCTTCTTGTATGCTGAGACAACATGCTCTTCAAGCAGGTTCTGATATCGTAGGCAAATTGAGTCTTCCAGTGTCAGAGAAGTGACAGTCCTAAAAGCTCCAATCGATTCCGACGCGAATTTTGAGCTTTCCGCAAAGACGTCGTTGTTCATCTTTTCAAACGCCAATTCGTATTTGAAGCGCCAATAAGCCGAGATGATCATTACAGGCAAGACAACGCAACACGAAACAACTGCTAGTTTCCAGGTGTGTGCAAAGGCGATAGTGACAGCCCCTATGACATTGAAGAGTGCAACGAAGACACTCGCCATGTTGAGTCCCATCATCTCTTCCAACTGTTTTGGGTCTGTTCCTAGTCTCGATGTCATTGTTCCATGAGAATGATCTTCGTTATCGAAAAATGATGTCTTTTGAAACATGACAGCGTCGAAATACTGTTGCTGATACTTGGCCCGGATGGTCGCTGACATGCGAGTTGCCACAAAGATCACGACAAAGTAACTGACTCCTATACCTACTGCCAGGACAACGAACATCAGAGCCCAGAATTTGCTTTCGGAAAGGTCCGAATCGGCTGCGATATAGTTAAAGGAGACAATAATCTTTCCAAAGATCCAGGCCTGCAATGGTACTCCAGATCCAACACAAGCGGCGGCGAAGAGAGTCAGGACAAAGGCCGGGTATATGTTCTTGCTCTCGAGGAACAAGCGACTGAAACTCTTGAAAGGGCTCCCTTCCTTTCCTTTGACAACATCGGCGACCATGTTAACCTCTGAAACTGCGACGCTCTGGACATTGGCAAGCGTTGGCTTATCCTCAGGCTCAACAGACTCATACCCAGACTCGGTAGGCTCCCCAAGCGAAAGAGATTGTGCGTGGACAAGGCCGGAATAAACACCGCCATCAGCAGCGATGAGACTATCATGTGTTCCTGATTCCACGACCTTCCCCTTTTTCAGCACAATAATACGGTCTGCTTTCTTGATTGTGGAAAGACGATGTGCTATAGTGATAGTAGTTCGGTTCTTGGCAACTCTGTCAAGTGCTGCTTGAACAATGCGTTCACCTCGTACGTCGATAGCGCTTGTAGCCTCGTCCAGGATCAGGATGCTGGGTTTTCGTACAATAGATCGCGCAATAGCCAGCCGCTGTCTCTGGCCGCCAGAGAGCTTGCTACCAGTATCTCCTACCCGCGTATCGAGTCCCTAAAAACGCATTAGCATAAATGACAAAGCAAGGGATGCAAACCTACATCAGGCAACCTGTCAATGAACTCATCAGCAAAAGCTTCCCGACAAGCGTCCCTCACCAACTCCCTCTTCTTATCCTCAGATTCATCTGCCCATGGCGTTCCAATCAAGCCATAAGCAACGTTCTTATAAATTGTGTCATTGAAAAGGAATGGTTCCTGTTGCACAAGCCCGATTTGCGATCTCCACCATTTGAGTTCAATGTCATCCAAGGGTTGGCCATCTGTGGTGATGTGTCCGCGAATTTCGACAGGGGGGCCTGTTTTTTCAGGTTCTGTTTCAACTGGGGTTGCAATATCTTCATCCTCCTCACTCTCCTCCTTTTTGTTCTTCTTTCCGCCTTTCTTTTCCTTTTCGATAACCTTGGCCAGGACGTGCTGATCCTGCAGAGTATACCATCTCTGGATCAACCCAACAATTGTGCTCTTACCTGATCCAGATGGTCCAACAATGGCATTGATCTTTCCAGCTTCGATGCGCAGGTCGAGATCGTCCAAGATTTTCACGTGGGGTCGACTGGGGTATGCGAATGTGACACCTTCAAGAACGATATCCTGTGTGGATGAAACTTCAGGCTCCTTCAGGCGCCCTTTCTCGGGCTGTGGTGCGTCAATAACGACGAAGAACTCGCAAGCCGCAACGGTGGCTTTTCCGACAGCAAGAAGTGGTGTAGATGTGCGCTCCAGTGAAAGTACAACGATCATTACGGAAAGCAGCACGCTGAAATTGTGAGTATAAGTCAAGTCAGTAGAGAGATGGACTTACACGAGGACGTCTCCAACATTATCTAGCCTACCTTCAGAATATGACTTTGCGCCATACCAAAAGCAGAGCGCAAACCCAGCATATAAACCGAAGAACACAAAGCCAAGTTGGCCTCCAATAAGAGGAGACAGAAGTTTACCATGCTGCCTTGTCTCTTCCACAAAGGCAGCATATTTCTTGGAGATACGTGATTCCGCGCCACAGGCTGCTACCATTCTGACACTCGCCAGGGCTTCACTGGCAACCGCACCAGCTCTGCCCTCAGACTTTGTGATGAGAGCATTGACCTTGAGAATCATGGGTAAGAATACACCCAGAACAAGAAAAAGGTATAGGATGATCGAAGATGTAACAAGAGTGAGGGACCAGTTCTTTACAAAAGCCACAATGAGCGCAGCGACGATGGTTGAATTGTATTCGACAAAGATTCCCAGCTTCTCTGATATTCCCAGCTGTAGAACATTGGCGGTAGATGTAATAGTGCCAGTGGCGTAGCCTGGAGGCATTGAATCGAGAACGTGAATAGACTGGCCGAAGAGTGATTTTAGGTAGTGAAGTCTGATGGCAGAAGATAACCTGATGCCTATCATGCGAAACACAAACTTGTTGATAGCATTAAGAACAAAACGCCCCAAGAAAAGGAAGAACATGTATAACGCCAGCTTATCAACGCTGCTGTTGAAATCACTTTGCGAGGTTGTGCTCCCTGGGAGGAAGTAGTCGGTGAAGTTACCCACGAATTGACCTATTTGATGTCAGTTTGGCGAGTTGTGACCGAGTTTCATACCATCGTACCAAAAACTACGTTCATTAGTGGTAGTGTCTAGGATGGTGTTAATATCATTGGGGCAACTCTGAAAGGGTGTTTTTGTGACACTTACAATTCCAGCGCCAATGCTGGCAAAGAAGCCTGCAGCATATGCAATGAAATCCCATTTTGTTGCGTAGGAGAAGATTCGCTTTGGGTATGTTAGAGATATTACAACTGGGACGGCAAAACATCAGCAATGCTACTCACAATGTAGTCTTTGAAATTGGCTGTCCTTTCAGGTCTTATTTTTGCTGTTTCCTGCACCTCATCTTCCTTGGTATGCTGTACTGATGAATTTTGAGGACCAGACGAAGGATTTGTAGGCTTCTCAGTTATAGGCTCATTATTTGTAGTCATGATGGTGTGGAGGCGTGAGCTCGGTAGGTTAAGTATCGATCAAGATAAAAGGGAGGGAGGCCCTTTGCCGTCGCAAGGGGGGATTGGAGAGACGGCTCAAGTCAAGACGATCATTTGCGATGTAACCCAATATATAAGTAGAAAGGGATAAAAAATGAACTCGTCGATGATAAAAGGTCGATGATTGAATGATGCAGGACCACCAGGAATTTACTTAGGCAGATGTCAATTGACTGAATCCCATATAAGGAAGGTATAGGCTATAGGCAGTCCGACCCCCTTTGTTGCTGTCTCTTAGCGGTTAGGGAGGTGATAAATTGGTGTTAATACGAGATACGACACTAGTGAGAACCTCGAATTTATACAATCGATGGTATGTCTTTGGGCGAACGGTCGAGATGCCAAGAGAGAGGGAAAAGAAGAAACAAGAGATAGGTAAGGGTCAGCCTTTATCACCGAGTTATTGTCATCCAACTTGTTGCAGTTAGGGAGTTAGAATTCCTAGGAAATCGGGACCAGTGAATA